AAAAAAAAAAAAAAAAAAAACTGAAACTAAATAAAAAACAAAAATACAAAATAAATAATGAAATAACAAAATAAAAACGAAAACACTGAATGAAAAACAAAATTGCAAAATTAAAAACTGAAACTAAATAAAAAACGAAAATTAAAAAATTAAAAAAAAAAAAAAAAAAAAAGCAAAAAACAAAATAAAAAACGATATTAATAAATAAAAAACGAAAATACAAAATAAAAAGCGTAAATAAAAAATAAAAAACGAAATTATTAAATATCAAAAAACGAAATTACAAAATAGACAAACGAAACTAAAAAACGGAATTTAGATGTGCATGAATCATTCTATTAAATGCACATGTTATAAAGCATTAATTCTATATATCTATCTGATTTTGTTTCGACATTAATACAAGTGTGATAACATTTGCATTTACACTCAGCTATTCTCATATCAATAACATAATAACCAGATTGAGTAGACGATCACAATAGGGGAGAATTTTACCTTTGGTTATCTAATATGGTTAGATCTATGTTTTTACCTTACATTAATGTGAAATTTGACCAGTCTGATGAATTGGCCCAGTATGTGTAAAACACAAAACGAGAAACAAGAAACGAGAAATCAGAACAACAGAATAAATATAAACAATGATCTCAAAATGTCAACAAAGGGGGCAGCTTTAGCCTTGATTTAATTTTGTTAAAAACAGATGTCGAGTGAAATTAAAACATCTAAATTAGGTCCGATTTATCAGTGATCTCACATTGCTTACCCATAAGGTCTTGACAGATTTAATTAGATATCAACAGCTGAATAATACATGATTAACTTGCAAGCGATAGATCACCTTACATTGTTTTCTGATTGGAGTGTAACATAATCAAAGAAAACAGTAAATAATATATTCATAAATAATTATTTATAAATAACATATGTATACGAGGGTTGTCCTAGAAAAACGCGAACTTTTTAAATATTTCATAAACTACTTAACCAAAATTAATAATTTTTTGGCTATTTTTCAGGGAAATGATATTTTCCTTATTTTGACAAAATTATATGAGGCTTTAATGACGTATGCACGTAAAAACAGAATTTAAAGAGTGTTAAATAATGGTGGTTGGCGCACGGCAATTTTTTGACTTTTAAAAATAGCAATGACAATGAAGTTTTCTTGATTAGCAGGCTATATGGAAATATAATGTAACAAAATTTACCTCCTTAGATACTCTATAGTCTGAAGTCCTAATGTGTAAAAGTTCATTAATTTGACATCATAAATGACAAAAATATGACGTTAAATGCCAAAACACTTTTAGTTAGATATTGTCAAAAATGGTGACGTCGGGCGATAATGCGGATCACCAAGCAGTTCTGTGTTGAACGTGATATGACTCCTGTCCGTACAGGAAAAGAGTATGTAAACGAAGGAACGAAACAAACATACATCTTGGACACACATTTATACCTAGATAAAGAGATTCGAGGATGGTTCGACTGGTTATCTGATAGAAGAGGCGTTCGTAGACCAACAAAAATGAAAAAAAAACTGAAAAGTGGGGAGCTGGAGGTCATGCGCTGTACGTGAAGACCGCCGTTTAACAATGTGAGCAGTTAGGTTTATGATCGGGGTTGGGAAATTGTCTATTTAAAAAAATTAATTCTGCGATCCTTTGTTAGTAGTAATATTTGGAAAAATTTGGTAGCTAAAAGAAAATGAAATACTGTGTCAAATTTATGCTTCAGATGACTTTTATCAGACGCACAATTCCAGAACAAATTCTCAAACGCCATGAGCTACGTTTTGACGTCGCCTGTGGTGCGCCTACAGCTATTTTGTAAGATGCGTTTCCTGTGAGAAAATTGTTATTTATAGAAATATTCTATTGAAATTTTCATGTATTATTATGATATATGTCAATTTCATTTATATAGTATTAGTGAAACAAAAGATATTGAAAAAGTTCGCGTTTTTCTTGGACAACCCTCGAACATCTGTATAAGTCTCTTTTAATACTTTTTTTCTAAAGTATTAAAGGAATAGATGATTAAATGATTACATATAGTCCTAGATTAAATCTGTCAAGATTTTATGGTTTTTTGTTGAGAGAGTGATTGTGCAGGTTGCTGATAAATCTGAACGAAGTTGGATGTTTTCATTTTACTTTCAATCTGTTATCCAACAAAATGAAATCAAAAGCACAAGCTACCCTCTCCCCTAGTTGACATTTAATGGTCATTAGTTATTTTATTTTATAATCATTCCATTGTTTCTCGTTTCGTATTTTACACATACGCATTGGCCAGTGATTCTAGAGAAAACGATGATAAGTTCAAATATTACCTCTCTTGAACCCTCAGCGCAGAAGGTCTAATTATCAGCAAATAATGAATCTGGACATAAAACATCAAAAAGATCATGCTAATAAATTGACCAAATATTTAAGATATACATATCTGTCTGTTAAGATTCCGTTGTTTACAACTGCTGAACTTAAAACATTTACGAAATTCCAATGGCTAAGCATCATTTGTCTATTTATCGCAGAGCACAATATTGCTATAAAATTATATGTTACCGATCTTATTTTGTTTGTTTGACATTATTAAAAAAAGGTTTAAAGAGAGCAAGTTAAAAAATTATACAAGTCAAAGTATTTACAATGAGTAGATTTTAGTGATTGCTTACTTCCTTAAAAATTAAGCAAAATACTTCCAATTTCTTACAATTTATCAAAGCTTAAGGCACTGGCAAGTCAGGATTTAAAAAAAAAAAAAAAAAAGTTTAATACATGGATTTTTTTCACTTATAAAATAGTAACTGAGAGTTATCTCCCGTGAAGAATTCTCTAAGCGGTGAAAACCAATAAAGCGAATGTTACAGAGGTAAACAAAAGCATGTGTATTTCCTTCATCTATACAGCAAGAAAGATAAGTAGTAATGACTTTGTTGTACATTGTATTCAGTTGACACAGAGCCAACAGGTCATCATTTACCATAGTTATGCTCAGTATGGTGGGAAGGACAAAGATGTGACATATGCTGAAAAGTAGATAGAGTGAGAACAGTTCTTAGGTCGTGTGAAGGAAGCCGCATTTAGTTACTACGAAAAAAAAAGTTAAAAATAAATCAATGCCAATATTTTTATGACAACGTGTTTCAATCAATTCAATTAATTACATGATAGAAACAATCAACCCTTGACCACTTTTAGTTGTTAAGGGAAGAAACTCAAAAATAATGATCGGTGCCGGTGTATGTCAATGTCTTGTTTCTATATATTCATTTTCAGCCAAAATATCTAGAAGTCATAGAAAATGAAAATACAATGCATTGAGAATTGTAAAAACACTGATTTGACAAAATCTGAAAAAAAGGTTGGCTTGGTTAATTAAGGAGGATAGGACTTTGAGCTGAAAAAATACTTGTCAATCAATTTTTTTCATATTTTGTATATTTCTAATTAAGTATGTCCCACACATCTTAAAGCAGTTATATCATTAGGTTTCTTACCTTATTTTGGAGATATTGATAGACAAATACTATGCCCTATAGTATCTAAGTGGAATTTTAATTCTCCATGTTTCCGGGCGCATTACTCTGTCCATAATGGGATTTTTTAAGCATACATAAAAAATATCAAAGTGAACATGTATCTTTTAAAATATTTCAGAGTATAACTAGGATTTAAAATTCGAAAAAGCAAGATTTGTCTATCACACTGCATCTGGATAGGGAAAATTACGCACTTTTTAAGACAACTTAAACAATAAAAAACGTAATTTACAAAAAATTCTTATCATTCAATATTTTTTAATTTACGTTGAAATGCAAATCCTTCAAATTATTGATTAACTGTAAATGTTTCGAATGATGAAGCTGACCTCATTATTTCACAGGACATCGTTAAAGAGAACATAAGCATGACAAAAACTTGTCATGTTACATTTCTCGAGTACGGGAAAAACCAACTATGACGTCACATGTAAGCTAAATAAGCGAATTAAGATGTACCTACATAAGATTTCCGTCATCAGCCATGCAAAAATAATTTTGTGTTCCCCGTTTCTCAAAATATTTCATCATATACTGATTATGACCTGTTTTTACATAATAATACCGCCCCTGTGTTCACCGAGTATGATCTTGCTGTACTAACAGATCGTGTATGACGTCACCAACTTGTTGGACGCGCAGTTTAGGGAAACAGAGGAGTGGATCAATCTTTTTCATAATTTGTTAATGTTTACAAGAATGTTAAAACTTTTTTTATTTTTTTTTTATATAAGATGGTAATTAAAGTTAAAAAATTGTCAAAACATTATACAAGAACTGATACTTTACACGTTTTGCACTTATATAAACGGAGACTATGACGTAGTTAAACAGAGTCATGTGACCATGTGTCCTTCATCCCCTTAAACGATCCAGAATATAGCCTATTTAATACAATTAAACCTACTTAAGAGCTCTTGAAAAAATTTATACGATAACCAGGAACCTTGCTAATGTTCTTAAATAGAAGTGATACTTCATCTTAATTCCGTATTTTAAGTACGGTTTTTTATTTTGTAATTTTGTTTTTTGTTATTCAATAATTTCGTTTTTTATTTTGTACCTTTTTTTTATTTATTAATTTCGTTTTTTATTTGTATTTTCGTTTTTTATTTTCTTTTTTATATAATAAATTTTATTGTTTTATTTTCGTTTTTTTATTTATTTATTTCGTTTATTTTTATAATTTTTTTAATTTCGTTTTTTATTTAGTATTTTCTTTTTTTTAACATAGTTTTTGGTTTGCACTATTGGGCTTCCGTAGTTTTCATTATTTTCTTTTCAAAATATTTTTGCTTGCAGAATTTGAATATTTTTACAAATTTTGGACCTTGATATATAATATTAAAACTAGAATGACCATTTCTCCTTTACAAAAAGTTTTAATTCTTACAGATGTAAACCGAGACTACCAGCAATATTTTGGAACAGCATGCATCAGTGATGTTTAATTACAGTGATAAAAAGATTCCCTTGCAGTATTAAGTAGAGATTGTGCTATTATGTTACCTGTTGTTGAAGATGGCGTTGGCACTGGAAAGGAAAGCAAACAATGCCATACATTAAAATACAGTTTGTAATCATCACAAGGAATTAAACTTACAAAATTCTTTGCTTTGTAATTTTTATCATTAAGAAATACCTTCTGTACATCCATAAATTTCAAATTTGAGTGACGGTGTAGCACCCGTTGAAATGAGGAGTTCAACTTTAATTCCATATGTAACAGTATTTTCTGGTAGATTGAGAGTGTCGACTTGATTAGGAACAGGGCTGGCTGGGTATTGCTGAAACAGAGTTGCTAATTCATTAAAAAAAAAACTCTCAGAATTATATAAATGAAAAGGGATGATTAAGAAAACAGTAGTAATATGATAATTTATATAACTATGTATAAAAATGTCCAAACATTTCAATACGCTTTCGTCTGAACGTACAAATGGAATATTTCTCTTTTGAATGTCTATGAATATCAATTCTTCCATTTACTACCTAAATTTATTGACATTATTAGAGTTGTAGGAGTAGGTTTATAGAAATTGTTAGTAGGTAAGCTGAACAAACAGCTTGACAACAGACAGTCTGATTGACTGACTGACGGACATACGGACAAACTACAAACATATTATCAATGACTGAACTCTCCTGAACTTTTAGCATGCCGAGCAAAACATGAAATAATTGTCTAGCATAGAGCATTTTAAAAGTGAGGTCTATATGGATGTTCCATTTGGAAAAAAAATTACAAAAGGCTTTTCATGTCCTTGAGTTATACTTTCTTTTAGTTCCTATAATAAAATATCCATTTTTTATTGAAGCTAAATACGATTTCTTCCTTTTTTATTCTACATATAAAATTTTAATTTTGGATAACTCTATACATTCAAAACATAAACAAGAGGCACAAGGGCCTTAACGGTCACCTGAGTATAATACAACAATTTAGAGGATCCATAGCGTATAAAATGAACTGAAAGGCAAAGCTTTGTTGCCAAAAAGCAAGAAAAATAGGGTGATCAGGATCAACAAAATAATTAGTCTAGCATTCATTAACAGTTCGTAAATTAGGTTCTAATCTGTTCCCCATTTATTGCTATCAACATACAGTATATTAACAAACTATCAGTGCTTCTGTACTTTATTAATTCCTTGTTGAAATCTCTTACATTGGCCTCTCTTGGTCTTTGATGAACATTCCATAAGACAAGTTTTTTTTGTCTCATTTTTATTTATCTATTACTTACAAGTCTACCTGATCATTAAAACTATGAAAGTACTTTTTTGTATCATATAATAAAAATTCTTTCATAATTCCCTTATTCTATTAACCTTTCAAGTACATTATTTACAGTGATTAATTATCAAAACTAAATGGCAAAGGGGAATAACTCCTCTCAGTAGATTACAAATTAATAGAGCCCTAGCCAGGACCAGAACACTTAACCAAATGGTCCAGATGTTCAAAAATCTGGTAAAATACCCTTCCTTCTTAAAACTTTTACTCTTTTTGCCTCTGATATGCCCAGGTGCAGAGAAGACTTTTAAAGAAATAATGCATTTTTACTACAGATTCACTATATTATCAATAGAGCCCCCTCCCCCTCCCCATCGAGAAACACCAGAGCCTCTCACACTGGGACCAGAAGTTTGCTCATCATAAGTAATCACTTTGTTTATCTGCTTAACACTAAGGAGCAGACAGGATTATTTAATAGAATTAATGCATTTTCACTATATTATCAAGAGCCCCACCCTTACACCAGCACATCTGACTCAGGGGTCATGCAATTCACTACTCTGGAAGAAACACTCTTGCTCATCATAACTATGCACTTAGCTTCTTTGCTTTTTAACCAGAAGCAGAAAAGAATATTTTCAAAGAAATTTTGCTTTTTCACTATATAATTAATGGAGCCCCCCCCCCCACCCACCCTTTCACCAGAACCCTTGATCCTGGGGCTATAAAATTCACAATTTTGGAAGAGCGCAGCTATGTTAAGGCTTCCCGAAGCTTTAAAATGCACTCGAAACATAATATGTCATTGCGAGGTCGGTTTTGGTTTTAATTTATAAGTATTGAACTTAAGTACTTCCAAATTATATAGAGGGTTTCCTCGGCTATATATTAACATATTTGTTATTGTATCACATGACTTTGCTGATCACGTGACGGTCATTTATAATTTTTTGAAGTGTTTCATATAAATCGCTTCGGCACAGCTGATTAACACAATAATTATTAACATTTTGTTATATAGATAAACTCATCGTATCCTTGTGTATCCGAAATGTGCTTGGGAAAAGTTATGGTATGACTTAGATACAAAATATTTCCTGAGAAATTCAACTTACCTACAAATCTGAGGGTATTTTCCACACAATATCGTAATCTGTATTAAAACAAAGCCAACACACATTTTTCCCAAGCAGGATTCAATTAGAGAACAACCTCTTCTTATAGATTTCCACAAAAATTTTCAGATTAATCCTCATTAATCACCTGCGCCAGACTCTTTTATACACACAAAATAAATTCTACCTCCAACCACTGGTATAAAACAGAGTACATTACAAAAGTATATTTTTCATAAACATTTTGAACATGCTGAATTTCAATCAAGGGTAGGTAAGCGGTATATTTTTAAAATATTCGGACATATATGACTTAAAAAACCTTTAACGACCCGTGAATTTTGCAATAGCTATCTAGCATTTTACATGCAGTTTGAAATAAAGTTTAAAGTTCATGACACTTTCCCCGTCATAACACCTCATGTTTGCAGTGACTTGACGTCATTTTCCATTATGACGTCATATTTTGGTAGTTCAGAGATGTGAAGGCACAGAGTGCATTGTGATATTCTACGGGAAGCCTTAACCTACCTGCGAGGCATCCTTGCGTATCATAACAATGTACTGAGTTTGTTTAAATAATACTCAGGGGCAGAAAATAATATTTTCAAAGAAATAATTGACCTTCACTATAGGATCTATATAGCCCCACCTAGCACCAGAACCCCTGTCCCTGGGACCAAGAATTTCACAATTTTGGAAGAGGCATCCTTGTTTATCATAACAATGTAGTTTGTTTAAATAATACCCAGGAGCAGAGAAGAATTTATAAAGCATTAATGCATTTTCACTATATAATAAATAGAGCCCCACCCTAACACCAGATCCCCTGATCCAGGGGCCATGAAATTCACAATTTTGGAAGAGGCATCCTTGCTTATCATCACTATGTATTCAATTTGTTTAAATAATACCCAGGAGTAGAGAAGAAGATTTTCAAAGAAATAATGCACTTTCACTATATGATCTATATAGCCCCGCTCTAGCACCAGAACCCCTGACCCTGGGGCCATGAATTTCACAATTTTGGTAGAGTCACCCTTGCTTATCACAACTATGTATTCAATTTGTTTAAATAATACCCAGGAGTAGAGAAGATTTTCAAAGAAATAATGCACTTTCACTATATGATCTATATAGCCCCACCCTAGCACCAGAACCACTGACCCTGGAGCCATGAATTTCACAATTTTGGTAGAGGGCTCAATGCTTATTACAATCATGCCAACAGTTTGACTGCTTGATGTCCAGGAGTAAAGAAGAAGATTTTTAAAGATTGCATTAATTTTAGCAATAGGTCACCTGAGTGGCTCAGGTGACCTAAAAAAACATTCAGTATTAAGACAGAGTTCAGAGTTCATGTGAAGATAACATATGGGTTCACCTTTACCAGGCAAAAAATAAATAACTTGGTCAGGAGTTGGAATTTTAACCGCATACGTCAGGTTACGGAGAACATTGCCCAGCCATACGAGATCTATTTCAAGCTCAAAATAGGTCTATTTTTTCTGGATAATTTGAACATGGATTTTGTAGCAAAACTTATTTTGTATTTTTTGAGTATTCGATACACAAGTGCATGATCAGAGTTCGATCAATTTTTAAACATAGCCAGGTCAATGACGAATAAGCTGATGTTGCAAGATTTTTACTTATCTCGTTTAAGGTCAGCATTTTGCAAATTGGTCATTATGATGACCTTGTTTGCAATTACAAACTACCGTTTTGGTCGTATTTTGACTGGCATGTTTCCCACCAATTTTCCACCATTGGTTTTATACCATTTTGACTAAAGACAACTTCGTTTCCCTTATCAATACAGAGGGCCTATAGCGGGCGTGACCAGTCGTCAGGCGATGCTTATTCCTCCTACGCACCTGATCCCACCTCTGGTGTTTCCAGAGGTCTGTGTTTTTGCCCTCTCGCAATTAATATCTTTACTGGATTTATGAGATTGACCACTGTTCGTTATTTCCACCATTTACATTACAGTGGCATGTTAACAAAGTGCAATTTACAAATCACACATAATAAACTGGGTACTGACTTTTTCTGCTCCGTTAGCCTCCCTTATTGGTTCCCACAACCCTTGAGGCGTCTGCTTAGTATAAACTATGTAGGACTGAGTTTCAAGGCTCTCAATTTCAATGTAAGTGACTTTAGTTGCCGTTGGAAATACAGCAGTAACAGATGGTGTTAAGTCAGTTGAAGAAGGGATCCAGGGGACTCCATTTAACATGGCGTTTGTAGACGATACACTCCCAGATGTGAAAGTTATAAGCCCATCTGGAATTATGCCGTCCTTTCTCAGTGGTTCAGCGCAGTATTTTGTTGATGTTGGAGCTAACCAAATGAAAACATAGATTTGAAAATATTTTAATCTTTCAAAACTACACTTTTTTCATACAATTAGCGCTTCATAATTTCTGTTCAACACATTACATACACAAAAACTCAAAAAATTATTGTATGATTTACGGTCTTAAATAGCAAGATTGTTCGATTGGTAAACAAATTCCGTAGATGAAAATAGCACTGTATTAGACAGTGATTGAAAAAACTCTAAATTGAAGACTGTACTCAATTAAGCTTAGAAATAATTCTGTCTTAATAAGGAACTAACCGAGCAAAAATTATTTCCCAATAAATCTTACTTAAATGCACGGTTATTTTGTAGCTGATGGACACTTTTTTCTTAATAACAAATCTCATCAACAGTGACTTTAAAGCAAAAAAGGCTTACAACATTTCTCACCTGTTGTTGTCTGTATCGTCGTTGGAGGGAGTGTGGTAGTTTGTTCTGATGTACATAAAGTATTGCATTAGTAAACTGATGACAAAGGTATATACAAAAAGCAGATTAATGAATATGTTTCATGAAGCAAATAATTTTATATATCATTTATTATTTAATTTATAATAAAGGTATACATATATAATTTACAAAGGATAAGTAACATATAAGGTAGTTTTACTAATAATTGCTTACATTATTGAGTGATATTGAAGAATACCAAAAGAAGGTAAAATCCGTTATAAAAACATTATACTTTGAAACAATTTCTTTGCGCATGCGCAAATCATCGCAAAAAATATACGCACTGCAGTCTTTTTCATCATCGCAATGCGTTTGGCAGTCACAACGTCCATCGCATATTTGACTGCTCAGATAACATGTAGGGTCGCTAGAACAAGGGAATGTAGACGGTGGGCATTGATGCGTTGTAGTTAACGAAGGTGTTGTGGTTCCTACATAAAAGAAAATTTGGTCCCTATTATCCAAAATATTGAGCAAATAAAAAATATAAATATCAGCAGAGATATCAGTTATTGATAATGTAAGAGGACCCAGAAATGTAACAAAAGAGATTCCAAGTTTGCAGAGTGTACAGAAATTGTCTACTTTTGTGCAAAAAAATGAACATAAAAGTTTTTTTTTTAAGTATCAAAAATGTTATGGGTAATGAAATCTTATTTACAATTTTACAATCTTACCTACATTTAAATCTAATTTACATTTAAAGGACCAACCTTGCTTATTATTGTTTCGAATTCTTATTGGAAAAGACGCCCAAAATTTTGTCCAACTTTATTTAGATGGCATACTAAATCGTAATTTGTCTATAAAATACCAGTATTTGATACACCTTAGCGCATGTTTAGAAGATACTAAACGCCTTTATTGCAAAGAAAAACACAATAAAATCACCAAAACAGCCTTCCTCGTCCTCTCCGTCTTCACAATTTTTGATGCCGTCACAGCGTTGATAGCCTGCTATACAGGTCTTACGATCATTGCACCAAAAATCGCATAAAGGCGCTGTTGATGTCGCTTCTTGCATGATAATATGGGAGAAAAAGGAAATAAAGGTATCATAAGGTAAAAGTATCAAAAGGTAAAGGTATCATAAGGTAATGTGTATACTGCAAGTTTTGAACAAGGTTTCTTTTCAACCTTCCTAAAAATTTCTCTGTTTCTCGACTTCTATTTAGCAGTATTTAAGCTCAGTGAAGTTATGGGTAATCTAATAGAGTTTTATAAAGCACTGCTTTTGATTGAAAATTGAAAAAAAAATAATGTTGGTCGTTTTTGTAAGGGTAACACTGTTACACTTATTGCTATTAAATATAATAATGTTATTAGAATCTGCAAGTACAATAGATAAAAATAATTTTAAAATGTGTATTGGTTTTAAGTATCTCCACATTCCAAATTATGTTCAATAATGTTTGATTAATATTTCGTTGTCATAAGTTAGGACAGTTCAGCCGTATTTGTTAAAACTGGATAAATATGAAATGGGTTAATACACAGAGAATTGCCTCTCTGCATATATTGATAACAGACTAAAAGAAAATTCTTTTGGAACCCTGACCAACATTAAGAGACATAAAAATAAACTATTCAAAAGGAAGCAGTGCAGGAATAATGTCTAATTCTATGCAGGTGGCTTTAAAATGACATTAATGACGAATTGTGCAATAAGGGTGTTCTATTACGTGAAATAAAAGATTCATGGAGAATGAATTACTATGGATGCAAAATGATAAAATTTAATATCTAACTAAAAATAATTTCTTCAGTGTCGGGTACTTTTGAGATTTGAAAAACAAATGAAAAACTTACCAGCTGTAGTCTGCAAAATCAGATATGAATTTATCATAAATTGTAATTAAAAAACATAACAATTGAACAAATCTCATTCTGAATTTTATTACAGCTAGATAGTAAATATCACATAACATTTTTTGGGTATTTTTCTTTTATCATATATAATTGTCACTCATAAATACCCTAAAGAATTGCTACTTACCGTAGATATAGGAGTGGTTGTCGTAGCTGAAATATTATTTGAAAAATTGGATTATTTTGCTTTTATTACAAAACAAATTACCAGTTACATAACAAATGCAGATTTCAATAGTCAAACACCATTTAGTTTGCAAATAATTTCCAGTTAGAAATAATTCTTGATTTAGGCAATAATCCATGGAGAACATTAGGCATTGTCACCTTATTTGAAATAATTATACACTATGCTGCATTGAATGATGAAAAAAAGTTGTTATCGAATTTATTTTATTCAAAAACGATTTTTCTGGGTACAATTTGCAAAATTTAACGACATTCTTAACTGAAATACTGAAATTCGTCCCTTGTAACATTTTTTTCGTTGGGTTCTTATTCACGTGATTCAGGCATCAGTTATCTATTTTAAGCAGAGGTTGTAGGTTTCTTTTTTAAATTTCAATGTGGACTCTAGTTTAGAAATGATGTATCTTAATGATGCACAATGCAATTGGGTTGCTGAAAGCAGGTGTATCGCAGTCTACGTTTGCAAAAGATTTTAATGTTGCACAATGCAACAATTGTTTCAAGAAATGATCTCCAAAGATCAGATAGGACACAGATACCATTAACAGCAAATACTCGTTTCATTTGTTAACGTCATCTTCCACATTTTATAACAGCATTGTCTTAAGCAGCAGCAATCCCTGAGATGTACAAAAATTTAGACTAGACCCTTCGTATCGACTATGGAATGTTGAAATTAGAACCCGATGACCTGTTGGTGGCATTGTTCTAATTCCACAACGACTTCAGTGGTCTCAAACAGGATAAAGCCACAGCAACTGTGTCGACCAGCGTTGTTAAATAAATAGCCCAGTCTTTATTACAGAGGGCTAATGGAAGAGTCAGAGTGATAAGTATCATAATGAATGTTTTCCGGAAAACTAAATCCCGGAAATTGATAATTTTGATTATGATGTGAGCAGCGATACTCTATATAATCATGCAGGATCGCTTTCTTTCATACAATAGTATATAGGCTTTTGACGGTGCAACAGTTTAAGATGAAGTTCTGTATAGCCGAACTTTTTTTCACCATCCTGGAGTCGTATTTTTGCATGACAATGTAAGGTTACATAAGGTTCATCTGGCAAGTGCATTCGTGCAATAACACGAAACTTTGTTCTGCCTTGGCCATCTAAATCGCCACATATAAACCCAAAAGCTGGCATGGGACAAATTGGATACCGCAGCCATAGACTTGGTGTCCGTAACCCCTGGGATCTAAATTTTTATTTTTACATTGTAAAGACATTAAAGTGCCTTTGAACATGAAAGTAATTGTAATATTTTGACTGTTGACTATTGTTAACATCATTTATTTGTTATCATTTTCTTGAGTAACCTATGTGTCTAAAAGTTTTGTCACTTCAGTTTTATTATGCCTTTTTGGAAAAAGTTTTGAAGATTTTTATTAATAATTCAAACTTACTTTGACTTGGTACAGGTTTGTAACAAGCCCGCACGATTAGATTTGATACTTGGGGTTGCTCAGGAGAGTTGCTCTTAATATTGATTGTGAAGGTATCTGTTGATACACCCGGTTCTAAGACATATTCCACCGTTTGGTTATTCTGGGTTATCACTTTTTGCTGAAAAGTGATTCAAAAAATAATATAATTAAGCCAAAATACAAAAGTTCCAAAACTCCTTCAGATAGAGGACGATGTTCCATTTCCTTTTTCAGATTTTTTGAAACTGATACACAAAAATTCTTACACTGTAAAGAGAATGATTTTTTTTACCTTGAAATCAGACAAATACTGCAGACCGACTGTATCTACTTTATTTACTGTGAAGGTAACCCTCAAAATCGTTGGAGTATCCAGTGAAACGATCTTTACAACAATGTTCTCGTCGTATGTTTGTTCTTTTGTAGGTTTGTATACATCTGTTTAAAAAAATATCTCACAAGATTCATTCTCTAATAACATTGCATTTAAGTGTCAGATCATTAAACTCCCACTCATTTTTGAATAATTAGTTTTTGATCAATACAAATAACCTATATAACTTAACAGACAGATAGAAAGGTAATCATACAGCCAAACGTATCACTTTTATTATATCATGTCATAAATCAGAATACAGAACCGAAGAGCTTAAAGGTAGCATGCCTATCGAATCAAACGATTCTTTTATTGTCCTTTTATATTAAGGAGCTCTAACCCTCTACTTCAAACCTACCGCAAATACTGATTATATACCTTTTTTGTTTGTAATAAATGACTTCATTTTGTTCTAAAATTGCTTTTGTTCAATTCATATTTCTTAAAGCAGCATGTAGTTTGTCAAGATTTAACAATTGAATAGAACGTTTCTAATTATGACATATTCATTGAAAATAATTGCATAGTTATCACTTACTATTTGATTTTAGTATATTTCCAACAGGGAAGTCAGAGTCTTCGCTTGGAGATGTAAGAATAATATCCATGGCTCTATCTGACCCAATGTCCACGTAGCTACAAACTAAAAGAGATTCATCAAAATTTTATTAAGTTTATTTCGATCATCATCATTGACTTATCTTATTTGTCTAGAATTTTATGAGTTTTCGTTTGAAAACACCAATAATGTCATAAAATTACATACACCTAAAAACACAATATATGTTAATGTAGATGCAGATTAAAGTTATATTTAAAACTATCGATACAAGGAATTTTTATTATAAGAGAAGATCTGATATATGAGAAAAAACGTATATTGAACATTACTTTAAGTTGTTTAATAAAGGATCAACAAATAATTAAACATCATTCATTGGCAATGATTATTACATTAATGTCTTATTATATATATCGTAACAGTTAAGTTTTACTTTAAAAACATCCAATCTTATCTTCTGGCCTTCAAAAACTTATTTTTGTATGTTCAAGTCAAATTGACTATTATAAATAAATTTCTTTCCTTCCTCACGATGAAAATGTCATAGAAATAAAAAATATCAAACACTTTTGCATATAAAAGTTTTAAATTTCAAAAATGAAATACTTGTCGTAGAGGTTGTAGAACTTGTCGATGATATACTAGGCGTTCCTGTTGAAGGTGTGACACTAGGTGTGCTGATTGATGGGGTGACACTTGGCGTTCCTGTTGAGGGAGTGACACTTGGTGTTCCTGTAGAAGGAGTGACACTTGGTGTTCCTGTAGATGGCGTTACACTTGGTGTTCCTGTGGAAGGTGTGACGCTTGGTGTCCCTGATGTAGTTGTTTGAAGTATTGGCGTTGTGATAGATTTTGTTGTTGTTCCTGAAATAAACACTTAAGGTTATAGTTGAATTTGCATGAAGGATTTTTTTTACTTATAATACTTTATGTTTAAAGTAATAAAATATACGAACTTTCATGCCTGGACAGATTATGGTATTTCAAAATAATAAATAATTTTCTATGTGAATGTAGGCATACAAGTTTTAAGGTAATTTATCATATATATCATAGATTATATCTATACTCCTGGGAAGTGGGGGAATGGAGATCACTGTAATGAAATGGCTTCGGTCTGGTATCGCTCTAGTAAAGGCTGCCGTTACTAGATGAATTCGCTAGCTTGTAAAGGACAATGTCCCCCTGTATACAAAAGTTCCAGTTGCCATCAATAATTAAAGTTTGTATATCATTTATTTGATGTATTTCATAAATAACAAGTCAATACTGCCCGAGGCAGGAAACCCGCCGATCAAACGGGGCTTGGTAGTAATTACACATCACCTGATACCGATTAAGATGTTTTTTGGTATCATTGAATAATTCTACTGCATACAAATAACGGTATCATATTATTTATGTCTCTGTGAATACTCAAGATTTATTTTAAAAAGTGTTTTCCTATATATGTATCTTAATATTTTTTTTGTTCGGGATCGAGATGTGCTACACTTTTATTTATAGCAGAACGATAATGAAAAAGGTCAATGAAAGTTAATGAAAAAAAAATTGTGAGATGAAACTTTGACGAGTTATAGCTACTCGACAAATTCGTCAATGTTTCCTCCTCGTCAAGCTTTCCATTTTTACAGTATGCTAATCCTTGTCACTTGATACATAAAAACGGACAGGCTGACACGCCGGGTAAACTGATATCTAAGTATCGCTCTGCTTTGCAGGCAAAAATAAAATAGTTCTAAAAAGTCACATTAGGAAAAAAAACATGCACTATATGTTTACCAGTGGACGGCGTCGTAATTTTCGGGGTTGTGACAGCGGTAGCTGGAGTGGAGGGTGCAGTAGCTGTTGTCCCACTTGGAGTGGGTGATGTTGATGGGGTTTGTCCTTGTGTAGGCGTAGGTTGTGAAATAGTTGGTGCTGTTGTCGTTGTTTGTCCTTTTTAATGAAATTATAAATGATTATAAAGGATTCTTTTCAATAACAGTAATAAAAATTTCCACTTTTCCTCCCAAATTGCTACAAATTTGATTTTACACACAAGATATAAGCATACCATATGCTTAAAATATATAATGCTTGTCAACGTAAAAAACTTATTTTGTGACAATTTTTTTCTGAAACCAAACTAGACACGTTTATCTTTTATCATCAACAAGAATTCACTTGTCCAATTCAAATCTTTTTCTTAATAACCTGACTTTTTTTTCTTCCTAAAGCTCCTAAAGCTCATTCTAAATCGCTATGGTGTTATATATATATATATATATATATATATATATATATATATATATATATATATATATATATATATATATATATTTCGATTTTTTTCCGATGCAATTTGAAAAGAAATTCAAAACATAATCAATCAGACAGATGTAATCCACACCGTAAAAAATTGACGCCATAAAGGCAATGGCCCAGATTCAATATTGACATTTTTACACAGAGTCATTTCAAGGCAGTAAAAACTTAAATATAGTCCAAAATCACACGTGACCTGGTCTCATATCCTAATTTAAAAAAGCAATAGAAAAGGATTGATCGTTTAAATCATTCATTCTGTAAGAAAAAAATTTTAAAAACCGATATTGATTACAAGGAGGGATATTGTATAAAGATCTTTAAGTTTCTATGACAAAACATTTTGTTTGTTTGGCGTCATAAAACATCCAAAATTTTAATGGATGATAATTAATATTAATTGAACATAAAAAAGAAAACTTTATCTTCAAAGATATTTGATAAATTCAAAATTAGCATTTAACTTTTTGATTGTGTGAGTATGGTATTTTGTTTATAAAAATTCTCTACTCATTTCAAGAAGACAAAGTCTGCAAAAGAAATGTTTCATACGTACAAACGTTAGTACAAGAGGAAAAAATTCAATAATACAAAGAAGAAACATGGGTTGTGCTCGGATGAATGAGTTAAATTGTAATACTTGATGTACCAGTAGAAGGAGTAACACTTGGAGTTCCCGTAGAAGGTGTGACGCTTGGTGTTCCCGTTGAGGGTGTGACACTTGGTGTTCCTGTTGAAGGTGTGACACTTGGCGTGCCAGTAGTTGAAGGCGTAACGCTTGGTGTTGCTGATGTCGATGGAGTGACACTCGGTGTTCCCGTTGAAGGTGTGACACTTGGAGTTCCAGTAGTGGAAGGTGTTACACTTGGGGTACCAGTCGATGGAGTGACACTTGGAGTTCCTGTTGTTGAAGGTGTAACACTTGATGTGCCAGTTGAGGGCGTGACACTCGGCGTTCCTGTTGATGGGGTCAAACTAGGTGTTCCCGTTGTGGGCGTGACACTTGGGGTACCAGTTGACGGAGTAACACTTGGAGTTCCCGTAGAAGGTGTGACGCTTGGTGTTCCCGTTGAGGGTGTGACACTTGGTGTTCCTGTTGAAGGAGTGACACTTGGTGTTCCTGTTGTTGAAGGTGTGACACTCGGTGTACCCGTTGAGGGAGTGACACTTGGTGTTCCTGTTGAAGGTGTGACACTTGGCGTGCCAGTAGTTGAAGGCGTAACGCTTGGTGTTGCTGATGTCGATGGAGTGACACTCGGTGTTCCCGTTGAAGGTGTGACACTTGGAGTTCCAGTAGTGGAAGGTGTTACACTTGGGGTACCAGTCGATGGAGTGACACTTGGAGTTCCTGTTGTTGAAGGTGTAACACTTGGTGTGCCAGTTGAGGGCGTGACACTCGGCGTTCCTGTTGATGGGGTCACACTAGGTGTTCCCGTTGTGGGCGTGACACTTGGGGTACCAGTTGACGGAGTAACACTTGGAGTTCCCGTAGAAGTTGTGACGCTTGGTGTTCCCGTTGAGGGTGTGACACTTGGTGTTCCTGTTGAAGGAGTGACACTTGGTGTTCCTGTTGTTGAAGGTGTGACACTCGGTGTACCCGTTGAGGGAGTGACACTTGGTGTTCCTGTTGAAGGTGTGACACTTGGCGTGCCAGTAGTTGAAGGCGTAACGCTTGGTGTTGCTGATGTCGATGGAGTGACACTCGGTGTTCCCGTTGAAGGTGTGACACTTGGAGTTCCAGTAGTGGAAGGTGTTACACTTGGGGTACCAGTCGATGGAGTGACACTTGGAGTTCCTGTTGCTGAAGGTGTAACACTTGGTGTGCCAGTTGAGGGCGTGACACTCGGCGTTCCTGTTGATGGGGTCACACTAGGTGTTCCCGTTGTGGGCGTGACACTTGGGGTACCAGTTGACGGAGTAACACTTGGAGTTCCCGTAGAAGTTGTGATGCTTGGTGTTCCTGTTGAAGGAGTGACACTTGGTGTTCCTGTTGTTGAAGGTGTGACACTCGGTGTTCCCGTTGAGGGAGTGACACTTGGTGTTCCTGTTGAAGGTGTGACACTTGGCGTGCCAGTAGTTGAAGGCGTAACGCTTGGTGTTGCTGATGTCGATGGAGTGACACTCGGTGTTCCCGTTGAAGGTGTGACACTTGGAGTTCCAGTAGTGGAAGGTGTTACACTTGGGGTACCAGTCGATGGAGTGACACTTGGAGTTCCTGTTGTTGAAGGTGTAACACTTGGTGTGCCAGTTGAGGGCGTGACACTCGGCGTTCCTGTTGATGGGGTCAAACTAGGTGTTCCCGTTGTGGGCGTGACACTTGGGGTACCAGTTGACGGAGTAACACTTGGAGTTCCCGTAGAAGGTGTGACGCTTGGTGTTCCCGTTGAGGGTGTGACACTTGGTGTTCCTGTTGAAGGAGTGACACTTGGTGTTCCTGTTGTTGAAGGTGTGACACTCGGTGTACCCGTTGAGGGAGTGACACTTGGTGTTCCTGTTGAAGGTGTGACACTTGGCGTGCCAGTAGTTGAAGGCGTAACGCTTGGTGTTGCTGATGTCGATGGAGTGACACTCGGTGTTCCCGTTGAAGGTGTGACACTTGGAGTTCCAGTAGTGGAAGGTGTTACACTTGGGGTACCAGTCGATGGAGTGACACTTGGAGTTCCTGTTGCTGAAGGTGTAAAACTTGGTGTGCCAGTTGAGGGCGTGACACTCGGCGTTCCTGTTGATGGGGTCACACTAGGTGTTCCCGTTGTGGGCGTGACACTTGGGTTACCAGTTGACGGAGTAACACTTGGAGTTCCCGTAGAAGGTGTGACGCTTGGTGTTCCCGTTGAGGGTGTGACACTTGGTGTTCCTGTTGAAGGAGTGACACTTGGTGTTCCTGTTGTTAAAGGTGTGACACTCGGTGTACCCGTTGAGGGAGTGACACTTGGTGTTCCTGTTGAAGGTGTGACACTTGGCGTGCCAGTAGTTGAAGGCGTAACGCTTGGTGTTGCTGATGTCGATGGAGTGACACTCGGTGTTCCCGTTGAAGGTGTGACACTTGGAGTTCCAGTAGTGGAAGGTGTTACACTTGGGGTACCAGTCGATGGAGTGACACTTGGAGTTCCTGTTGTTGAAGGTGTAACACTTGGTGTGCCAGTTGAGGGCGTGACACTCGGCGTTCCTGTTGATGGGGTCAAACTAGGTGTTCCCGTTGTGGGCGTGACACTTGGGGTACCAGTTGACGGAGTAACACTTGGAGTTCCCGTAGAAGGTGTGACGCTTGGTGTTCCCGTTGAGGGTGTGACACTTGGTGTTCCTGTTGAAGGAGTGACACTTGGTGTTCCTGTTGTTGAAGGTGTGACACTCGGTGTACCCGTTGAGGGAGTGACACTTGGTGTTCCTGTTGAAGGTGTGACACTTGGCGTGCCAGTAGTTGAAGGCGTAACGCTTGGTGTTGCTGATGTCGATGGAGTGACACTCGGTGTTCCCGTTGAAGGTGTGACACTTGGAGTTCCAGTAGTGGAAGGTGTTACACTTGGGGTACCAGTCGATGGAGTGACACTTGGAGTTCCTGTTGTTGAAGGTGTAACACTTGGTGTGCCAGTTGAGGGCGTGACACTCGGCGTTCCTGTTGATGGGGTCAAACTAGGTGTTCCCGTTGTGGGCGTGACACTTGGGGTACCAGTTGACGGAGTAACACTTGGAGTTCCCGTAGAAGGTGTGACGCTTGGTGTTCCCGTTGAGGGTGTGACACTTGGTGTTCCTGTTGAAGGAGTGACACTTGGTGTTCCTGTTGTTGAAGGTGTGACACTCGGTGTACCCGTTGAGGGAGTGACACTTGGTGTTCCTGTTGAAGGTGTGACACTTGGCGTGCCAGTAGTTGAAGGCGTAACGCTTGGTGTTGCTGATGTCGATGGAGTGACACTCGGTGTTCCCGTTGAAGGTGTGACACTTGGAGTTCCAGTAGTGGAAGGTGTTACACTTGGGGTACCAGTCGATGGAGTGACACTTGGAGTTCCTGTTGTTGAAGGTGTAACACTTGGTGTGCCAGTTGAGGGCGTGACACTCGGCGTTCCTGTTGATGGGGTCACACTAGGTGTTCCCGTTGTGGGCGTGACACTTGGGGTACCAGTTGACGGAGTGACACTTGGAGTTCCCGAAGAAGGTGTGACGCTTGGTGTTCCCGTTGAGGGTGTGACACTTGGTGTTCCTGTTGAAGGAGTGACACTTGGTGTTCCTGTTGTTGAAGGTGTGACACTCGGTGTACCCGTTGAGGGAGTGACACTTGGTGTTCCTGTTGAAGTTGAAGGTGTGACACTTGGCGTGCCAGTAGTTGAAGGCGTAACGCTTGGTGTTGCTGATGTCGATGGAGTGACACTCGGTGTTCCCGTTGAAGGTGTGACACTTGGAGTTCCAGTAGTGGAAGGTGTTACACTTGGGGTACCAGTCGATGGAGTGACACTTGGAGTTCCTGTTGTTGAAGGTGTAACACTTGGTGTGCCAGTTGAGGGCGTGACACTCGGCGTTCCTGTTGATGGGGTCAAACTAGGTGTTCCCGTTGTGGGCGTGACACTTGGGGTACCAGTTGACGGAGTAACACTTGGAGTTCCCGTAGAAGGTGTGACGCTTGGTGTTCCCGTTGAGGGTGTGACACTTGGTGTTCCTGTTGAAGGAGTGACACTTGGTGTTCCTGTTGTTGAAGGTGTGACACTCGGTGTACCCGTTGAGGGAGTGACACTTGGTGTTCCTGTTGAAGGTGTGACACTTGGCGTGCCAGTAGTTGAAGGCGTAACGCTTGGTGTTGCTGATGTCGATGGAGTGACACTCGGTGTTCCCGTTGAAGGTGTGACACTTGGAGTTCCAGTAGTGGAAGGTGTTACACTTGGGGTACCAGTCGATGGAGTGACACTTGGAGTTCCTGTTGTTGAAGGTGTGACACTTGGCGTGCCAGTAGTTGAAGGCGTAACGCTTGGTGTTGCTGATGTCGATGGAGTGACACTCGGTGTTCCTGTTGAAGGTGTGACACTAGGTGTGCTGATTGATGGGGTGGCACTTGGCGTTCCTGTTGAGGGAGTGACACTTGGTGTTCCTGTAGAAGAAGTGATACTTGGTGTTCCTGTAGATGGCGTTACACTTGGTGTTCCTGTGGAAGGTGTGACGCTTGGTGTCCCTGATGTAGTTGTTTGAAGTATTGGCGTTGTGATAGATTTTGTTGTTGTTCCTGAAATAAACACTTGAGGTAATCGTTGAATTTGCATGAAGCATATTTTTACTCATAATACTTTACGTTTAAAGTAATGAAATATACGAACTTTCATGCCTGGACAGATTATGGTATTTCAAAATAATAAATAATTTTCTATGTGAATGTAGGCATATATGTTTTAAGGTAATTTATCATATGTATCATAGATTATATCTATACTCCTGGGAAGTGGGGGAATGGAGATCACTGTAATGAAATGGCTTCGGTCTGGTATCGCTCTAATAAAGGCATTTTTTCAATAGAATGCATGAGGAGGGAACAGACGTGATAATTTAATATCTTCTCATGTGTTAGTACTTGGGTACTTTTCAAAAGAAAAGAAAAAAATCAAATTTTCCCCCCACTTTTTCAAAAATTTTCTACATTTTCTTCTACAGTATCTTCACAATTTCTTCCATATTTATTCTCTTCTGTTCTCGAGACCGCAATTAAGGCAAAGTAAATGAGGTTTTCGGTAATGTTCTGAAATTTAATTATTATACAATTTTTATAATATAATGTAAGCATTTTGCCAACTTTTGGACACTTGACGTCCCGACAGAACCCCAACGCATAATATGACAATACATGTATATATAATACATGTATATATACAGGAATGTTTTTACAGCATAGTCGTTTTGTGTTTTCAGATTTTTTTAGGCATTTGTAGAAGGGGGAGGGGGGCAATCATCCCTATTTTTTAAAAGAATTTGCTGGGTCAGCTACTGGGCAAAAGTCGAATAGGACAGGGGTTAATTCGTCGCACACCACTCACCATGACTATGTACAGAGCAAAAATATAATGTCTTGAAAAAGGCGGGGTTTTTTCCCCTGAAATTTTTTTTTATGTTTTAATTATACATATTTTATATTTCCATTTGGCATTTTTCTTCAAAATATACAAAATTATATTCTTAAAACATATAGTTATCGTTTTATTATGTTTAATTTTGAAAATGGTTGCAACGAAGTGATAAAACACCATAAATATACGGCCGTCGAAGTAAAAAGCTGATTAAATAGGGGTCACATGGTACTGAAACGTCGAAGGTGAACAATTATAACTTCTATAGCTAATTGAAAGAAAAAATATTTAGATTTTGACGTTAAATAATTTTTTTTCAGCAAAGGATTTTTAATAGCATGATTTTAATAGCATGAAAATGTTGTCATATCAAAACATTTTGAGACATGATAAATATCGATTGTTTTGATTTTGTTATTTTTTCCAATATAGCGGTTTAAATAAGTAAATATGATTTTGATTATTTTCCATTGCCACCTCACAGTGGCTGTTTGAACCCTTGCAAATGATAGGAATATCTTTAAAGTGTACAATATGACTCGCAAACCAATTACTAAAAAGTCGTACTTGAATTTGTACTTTTTTTGAGAGCACTAATATGTCTAAAACTAACAAGGTTTGTTAACTGTTGATACAATACTTTCCAATTAAGAAATCAGATCTAATAAAATATAGCACTCAAGAATCACGTTGTTCCAGAAAGAGTTCTCTCTCAATTAAGTATTTTTTATGGAATATTAATTTTCTTTCATAAAATTCTATATTGTATTTCATTTCACCAAAAAACATGGTAATAAATATAACAATTTATTCAAACTTTATTAAAGGGGAATTGACATATACTGTAAAAGTGGTTATATTGGCGAGAGGAAAGTTTGACGATTTTCTAATCTTCAAAAATTGGCGGGTGGACGATTTTTTCACTCTTACCTGAACAAACAGGCGTTATCTTTCTTTGCTTCCTTACACGCACAAAAAAAAAATATCTCTCCCGTGGCTACAAATAATTTTTCGTCAAATATTTCTTACAAGGTAATATTTCAAGCTCATAGTTAGTAAGCAAGTTATAATGGTTGAAAAAAGACTGCTTACTGGTATATGAGAAGATACGGAAAGTGAATTTATACAACAAGCATTTAACGCCTCCGTTACTAGATGACCTCGTTAGCTTGTAATGGACAATGTCCCCCTGTATACACAAGTTTCAGTTGCCATCAATAATTAAAGTTTGTATATCACTTATTCGATGTATTTTATAAATAACAAGTCAATACTGCCCGAGGCAGGAAACCCGCCGATCAAACGGGGCTTGGTAGTAATTACACATCACCTAATAACGATTAAGATGTTTTTGGTATCATTGAATAATTCTACTGCATATAAATAACGGTATTATATTATTTATGTCTCTGTGAATACTCAAGATTTATTTTAAAAAGTGTTTTCCTATATATGAACCTTAATAATTTTTTTTGTTAGGGATCAGGATGTGCTACACTTTTATTTATAGCTGAACGATAATGAAAAAGATCAATGAACGATAATGAAAAAAAAAATTGCGAGATGAAACTTTGACGAGTTATAGCTACTCGACAAATTCGTCAATGTTTCCTCCTCGTCAAGCTTTCCATTTTTACAGTATGCTAATCCTTGTCACTTGGAACATAAAAACGGACAGGCTGACACGCCGGGTAAAGTGACATCTAAGTATTGCTCTGCTTTGCAGGCAAAAATCAAATAGTTCTAAAAAGTCACATTAGAAAAAAAGCATGCACTACTAGTATATGTTTACCAGTGGACGGCGTCGTAATTTTCGGGGTTGTGACAGCAGTAGCTGGAGTGGAGGGTGCAGTAGCTGTTGTCCCACTTGGAGTGGGTGATGTTGATGGGGTTTGTCCTTGTGTAGGCGTAGGTTGTGAAATAGTTGGTGCTGTTGTCGTTGTTTGTCCTTTTTAATGAAATTATAAATGATTACAAAGGATTCTTTTCAATAACAGTAATAAAAATTTCCACTTTTCCTCCCAAATTCTAGAAACTTGATTTTATACACAAGGTATAAGCATACCATATCCTTAAAAAATATAATGCTTGTCAACGTAATAAGTAGAAAACTTATTTTGTGACAATTTTTTTCGAAACCACACTAGACACCTTTATTTTTTATCATCAACATGAATTCACTTGTCCAATTCAAATCTTTTTCTTAATAACCTGTCTTTTTTTTCTTCCTAATGTTCATTCTAAATCGCCATGGTGTTATATATATATATATATATATATATATATATATATATATATATATATATATATATATATATATATATATATATATATGTATAAATTTTTTTCGATTTTTTTCCGATGCAATTTGAAAAGAAATTCAAAAAATATTCAATCAGACAGATATAATCCACACCGTAAAAAATTGACGCCATAAAGGCAATGGCCCAGATTCAATATTGACATTTTTACACAGAGTCATTTCAAGGCAGTAAAAACTTAAATATAGTCCAAAATCACACGTGACCTGGTCTCATATCCTAATTTAAAAAAGCAATAGAAAAGGATTGATCGTTTAAATCATTCATTCTGTAAGAAAAAATTTTAAAAACCGATATTGATTACAAGGAGGGATATTGTATAAAGATCTTTAAGTTTCTATGACAAAACATTTTGTTTGTTTGGCGTCATAAAACATCCAAAATATTAATGGATGATAATTAATATTAATTGAACATAAAAAAGAAAAATTTATCTTCAAAGATATTTGATAAATTCAAAATTAGCATTTAACTTTTTGATTGTGTGAGTATGGTATTCTGTTTACAAAAATTCTCTACTCATTTCAAGAAGACAAAGCCTGCAAAAGAAATGTTTCATACGTACAAACGCTAGTACAAGAGGAAAAAATTCAATAATACAAAGAAGAAACATGGGTTGTGCTCGGATGAATGAGTTAAATTGTAATACTTGATGTACCAGTAGAAGGAGTAACACTTGGAGTTCCCGTAGAAGGTGTGACGCTTGGTGTTCCCGTTGAGGGTGTGACACTTGGGGTTCCTGTTGAAGGAGTGACACTTGGTGTTCCTGTTGTTGAAGGTGTGACACTCGGTGTACCCGTTGAGGGAGTGACACTTGGTGTTCCTGTTGTTGAAGGTGTTACACTTGGTGTACCCGTTGAGGGAGTGACACTTGGTGTTCCTGTTGTTGAAGGTGTGACACTTGGCGTGCCAGTAGTTGAAGGCGTAACGCTTGGTGTTACTGATGTCGATGGAGTGACACTCGGTGTTCCTGTTGATGGGGTCACACTAGGTGTTCCCGTTGTGGGCGTAACACTTGGGGTACCAGTTGACGGAGTAACACTTGGAGTTCCCGTAGAAGGTGTGACGCTTGGTGTTCCCGTTGAGGGTGTGACACTTGGGGTTCCTGTTGATGGAGTGACACTTGGTGTTCCTGTTGTTGGAGTGACACTTGGTGTTCCTGTTGTTGAAGGTGTTACACTTGGTGTACCCGTTGAGGGAGTGACACTTGGTGTTCCTGTTGTTGAAGGTGTGACACTTGGCGTGCCAGTAGTTGAAGGCGTAACGCTTGGTGTTACTGATGTCGATGGAGTGACACTCGGTGTTCCTGTTGATGGGGTCACACTAGGTGTTCCCGTTGTGGGCGTGACACTTGGGGTACCAGTTGACGGAGTAACACTTGGAGTTCCCGTAGAAGGTGTGACGCTTGGTGTTCCCGTTGAGGGTGTGACACTTGGGGTTCCTGTTGTTGGAGTGACACTTGGTGTTCCTGTTGTAGAAGGCGTGACACTCGGTGTACCCGTTGAGGGAGTGACACTTGGTGTTCCTGTTGTTGAAGGTGTGACACTTGGCGTGCCAGTAGTTGAAGGCGTAACGCTTGGTGTTACTGATGTCGATGGAGTGACACTCGGTGTTCCCGTTGAAGGTGTGACACTTGGAGTTCCAGTAGTGGAAGGTGTTACACTTGGGGTACCAGTCGATGGAGTGACACTTGGAGTTCCTGTTGTTGAAGGTGTAACACTTGGTGTGCCAGTTGAGGGCGTGACACTCGGCGTTCCTGTTGATGGGGTCACACTAGGTGTTCCCGTTGTGGGCGTGACACTTGGGGTACCAGTTGACGGAGTAACACTTGGAGTTCCTGTAGGAGGTGTGACGCTTGGTGTTCCCGTTGAGGGTGTGACACTTGGGGTTCCTGTTGATGGAGTGACACTTGGTGTTCCTGTTGTAGAAGGCGTGACACTCGGTGTACCCGTTGAGGGAGTGACACTTGGTGTTCCTGTTGTTGAAGGTGTGACACTTGGCGTGCCAGTAGTTGAAGGCGTAACGCTTGGTGTTACTGATGTCGATGGAGTGACACTCGGTGTTCCTGTTGATGGGGTCACACTAGGTGTTCCCGTTGTGGGCGTGACACTTGGGGTACCAGTTGACGGAGTAACACTTGGAGTTCCCGTAGAAGGTGTGACGCTTGGTGTTCCCGTTGAGGGTGTGACACTTGGGGTTCCTGTTGAAGGAGTGACACTTGGTGTTCCTGTTGTTGGAGTGACACTTGGTGTTCCTGTTGTTGAAGGTGTTACACTTGGTGTACCCGTTGAGGGAGTGACACTTGGTGTTCCTGTTGTTGAAGGTGTGACACTTGGCGTGCCAGTAGTTGAAGGCGTAACGCTTGGTGTTACTGATGTCGATGGAGTTACACTCGGTGTTCCTGTTGATGGGGTCACACTAGGTGTTCCCGTTGTGGGCGTGACACTTGGGGTACCAGTTGACGGAGTAACACTTGGAGTTCCCGTAGAAGGTGTGACGCTTGGTGTTCCCGTTGAGGGTGTGACACTTGGGGTTCCTGTTGAAGGAGTGACACTTGGTGTTCCTGTTGTAGAAGGCGTGACACTCGGTGTACCCGTTGAGGGAGTGACACTTGGTGTTCCTGTTGTTGAAGGTGTGACACTTGGCGTGCCAGTAGTTGAAGGCGTAACGCTTGGTGTTACTGATGTCGATGGAGTGACACTCGGTGTTCCCGTTGAAGGTGTGACACTTGGAGTTCCAGTAGTGGAAGGTGTTACACTTGGGGTACCAGTCGATGGAGTGACACTTGGAGTTCCTGTTGTTGAAGGTGTAACACTTGGTGTGCCAGTTGGGGGCGTGACACTCGGCGTTCCTGTTGATGGGGTCACACTAGGTGTTCCCGTTGTGGGCGTGACACTTGGGGTACCAGTTGACGGAGTAACACTTGGAGTTCCCGTAGAAGGTGTGACGCTTGGTGTTCCCGTTGAGGGAGTGACACTTGGGGTTCCTGTTGATGGAGTGACACTTGGTGTTCCTGTTGTTGGAGTGACACTTGGTGTTCCTGTTGTTGAAGGTGTTACACTTGGTGTACCCGTTGAGGGAGTGACACTTGGTGTTCCTGTTGTTGAAGGTGTGACACTTGGCGTGCCAGTAGTTGAAGGCGTAACGCTTGGTGTTACTGATGTCGATGGAGTGACACTCGGTGTTCCTGTTGATGGGGTCACACTAGGTGTTCCCGTTGTGGGCGTGACACTTGGGGTACCAGTTGACGGAGTAACACTTGGAGTTCCCGTAGAAGGTGTGACGCTTGGTGTTCCCGTTGAGGGTGTGACACTTGGGGTTCCTGTTGAAGGAGTGACACTTGGTGTTCCTGTTGTTGGAGTGACACTCGGTGTTCCTGTTGTTGAAGGTGTTACACTTGGTGTACCCGTTGAGGGAGTGACTCTTGGTGTTCCTGTTGTTGAAGGTGTGACACTTGGCGTGCCAGTAGTTGAAGGCGTAACGCTTGGTGTTGCTGATGTCGATGGAGTGACACTCGGTGTTCCCGTTGAAGGTGTGACACTTGGAGTTCCAGTAGTGGAAGGTGTTACACTTGGGGTACCAGTCGATGGAGTGACACTTGGAGTTCCTGTTGTTGAAGGTGTAACACTTGGTGTGCCAGTTGAGGGCGTGACACTCGGCGTTCCTGTTGATGGGGTCACACTAGGTGTTCCCGTTGTGGGCGTGACACTTGGGGTACCAGTTGACGGAGTAACACTTGGAGTTCCCGTAGAAGGTGTGACGCTTGGTGTTCCCGTTGAGGGAGTGACACTTGGGGTTCCTGTTGATGGAGTGACACTTGGTGTTCCTGTTGTAGAAGGCGTGACACTCGGTGTACCCGTTGAGGGAGTGACACTTGGTGTTCCTGTTGTTGAAGGTGTGACACTTGGCGTGCCAGTAGTTGAAGGCGTAACGCTTGGTGTTACTGATGTCGATGGAGTGACACTCGGTGTTCCTGTTGATGGGGTCACACTAGGTGTTCCCGTTGTGGGCGTGACACTTGGGGTACCAGTTGACGGAGTAACACTTGGAGTTCCCGTAGAAGGTGTGACGCTTGGTGTTCCCGTTGAGGGTGTGACACTTGGGGTTCCTGTTGATGGAGTGACACTTGGTGTTCCTGTTGTTGGAGTGACACTTGGTGTTCCTGTTGTTGAAGGTGTTACACTTGGTGTACCCGTTGAGGGAGTGACACTTGGTGTTCCTGTTGTTGAAGGTGTGACACTTGGCGTGCCAGTAGTTGAAGGCGTAACGCTTGGTGTTACTGATGTCGATGGAGTGACACTCGGTGTTCCTGTTGATGGGGTCACACTAGGTGTTCCCGTTGTGGGCGTGACACTTGGGGTACCAGTTGACGGAGTAACACTTGGAGTTCCCGTAGAAGGTGTGACGCTTGGTGTTCCCGTTGAGGGTGTGACACTTGGGGTTCCTGTTGAAGGAGTGACACTTGGTGTTCCTGTTGTAGAAGGCGTGACACTCGGTGTACCCGTTGAGGGAGTGACACTTGGTGTTCCTGTTGTTGAAGGTGTGACACTTGGCGTGCCAGTAGTTGAAGGCGTAACGCTTGGTGTTACTGATGTCGATGGAGTGACACTCGGTGTTCCCGTTGAAGGTGTGACACTTGGAGTTCCAGTAGTGGAAGGTGTTACACTTGGGGTACCAGTCGATGGAGTGACACTTGGAGTTCCTGTTGTTGAAGGTGTAACACTTGGTGTGCCAGTTGAGGGCGTGACACTCGGCGTTCCTGTTGATGGGGTCCCACTAGGTGTGCCTGTTGTGGGCGTTACACTTGGTGTACCGGTTGATGGAGTGATGCTTGGTGTTACAGATTGTGTTGTTTGTGGTGCACTTGGTGTAGTGAATGAAGTTTTTGTTGTAGTTCCTAAAATATTTGAAAATTAAATGCTTCCTTCATACATTTTTCTTTGAAAACATGAATTTTTGGGGATATATCATATGCCATTTTCAATCAAAGTCTTCTCGTTGTTTACAAGATGTGTCTCAAAAGTGAATTTCTTTTGACAACAAGAAGGTTTCAATTAATTTTACCAAAAAAATCTTGATTAACTGAAAATATGATTTTTCACTATCAATTCGACATGTGTGTTTTTTTATATTAAAAAAATTATCCTTTGTTCTGTAAGGATTCTGTTATGCTTGATACCATTATTATTTTTAAGAAAGTTATGCTTACACTATTTACTATGAAAAGAGGAAATTGCCCAATTAACAGTGTGCAAATAGCCAATTTTTCGAGAATACATGTATTTTTTTTTTTAGAGTTACTGCATTTCAATTTAAGAAAATGTATTATTATATACATTTTTACTTCCGCAAATGTCTCTAAACATGAGGTGTTATAATATATTTTTTTCAAGAATCTATCTACAGAATTTCTTAAACTAAGTAACGTAATAAAATATCCTTACCAGAGGGGGTTGTAACTGATGGGGTGGTGACTTTGGTAGCAGGAGTGGATGGAATGCTGACTGTTGTGCCACTGGTAGTTGAGGTTGTAGACGGTGTCTGTCCTTGCGTAGATGTAGGTGGCGATACTGTTGGAGGTGTTCTTGTTGTTCCTATATGTATACAAAAACAACGTGCATGTACTTCTATATTATACTATAGCATAGTTCTACAAAAGGGGCTTTTATCTATTTACTACATTAATGTTTTACACACACCCCTTATTTCAACTCTTACAACAGTTTACACATTTTACGAATGAAAATTCCTCTCGTCAATTTTACAAATAAATTTTTGTCATAACAATTTAAATTAAATCTCATAACTTGACTTAAGCTTCCTATTGTGATACAAAATAGCGCCAACGACAAACATTTCTAAGTTCGAGTTATTTTTTTACCTGCAGTTGTCGACAATGTAGATGTTGTAGTTGAAAGTCCTGTTAATGTAGAAAGTAGAGAGTAAAGTTAATGCATAAATATAGAGAAATTCTGTAATTCAATTAAATATCGTTGAAGAAACTGAATTTTTTTAAATGTGCAAATAAATTTATTTAATTTTTATATTATTAACGCACAAGTAGGAAAGTAGGAAAGAGGATTAAAAAAACGTATGTATTATTGTTTATTTGAGGCAACACAACAATTCTGTTCTGCTTATTATTTTATCTCATTTAATATTGTTGGGAAAACAATTTAAATTTTTGAATGTTCAAATAAATTTTTGTTTAACTTTTATTTTGTAAATTTACAATTTGAAGCAGAAGATTAAAAGGGTTTATTCCTGTTTTAATCCTGAGGATTTGTGTTCTCTAGTATCAATTTTTAACATATTTGAAATACATAATGCAGAAAAAATCAAACTGAGGAATTCTAGATTGCCTGAAATCTAAGAAATTTCTCTGCTTGTCATATGTAATAATATTGTTGCATCCCTTGAATAAGCAATACAGCATAGAAGAATAGAAAAGTAGTCTTGGTCTTGAAATGTAGAGCTGTGTATGTTTTGCTATAAAAGAGTGATTGTTTTAACATCAATCCTGCCTAAGGTAGGAACAGCATATATAACTGTAGCATATTTTCTGTAAATGCATTTGTCTAAATGTAAGCATGGATGCCTAATAGAGCGCGCCTAATACAAGTACAGAAAGTGATTGCTAGTGTGCTTGAAATGAAGTGCAATTGCGCCAAATGTTGTGAAGTAGAAGGATAGAGTTGGTAGATTTTAGAACGCCAGTACGCTGTAGGCATTGATAACTAATGCGTAACTAGATGTGCGATTTTCAAATAGCAAGTATTTTTCTGTTGTTCATTTGCTTCAAACGTTATTCTAAGCGAGAAGGCATGAAAGCTGGCTATTAGATAAAAAAGGTTTCGCTTGCTTTAACAAGTATATACCAGGTGTAGGAAGTGTGAACTCAGGCGGAGTTGGGGGACTTTCTTGCAAAATTGTTGTCAATGGTGTTGTTGCCACTTAAGATATAAACATAAAAGAGTAATGAGATCGTGAAAAAATCCAACATGTATTAAAGTTACTTGAGTAAGAGTAAGAGAGAAATCTTCATTTAAATCTGCATCTAAAAGTCATTTAAAGCTACGTGTTTTGTAGATACTGTTGATTCCAATTATTGATTAGTTAAGTGAAGTATTTGAGGTAAAATATTGTATGTTGTTTATAATTCTAAATAAGATCATTGCTAATTAAACAGGCTGCATACTTATTTTATTTTTCAAGTAGTCTGTGTTCTGGAACACATCTTCTCGTATGAAACATTTAATACTTAATGATTTAACATATCAATTACCTGTAGATGAAACTGTTGATTGTGCACCTGTAATTAAAAAAAACGCATTTTGAGAGCTTGTTATGCAATAATACAAAATACATCCAGTGCATAATCTACAAAAAAGACTTTGTTTAAATTTTCAAGTAAAAAATATGTTTTTTCTTGGTAAGAAAAGAAAAGTGACACCTGATAACGTTACATACTCTGTACTTGAAATGTCTCAGAATACATTGCCGACCTCTGAGAAACATTGTTTATGTACTTAATTTCTGCTATCATTCTGACCAGAGTTTCAATACAAATTATTTTTGACAAAAAGAATAAAAACTCAAAAGATTGCATAAGTACGGAAATGACTATATGTTTTGGTGGATAGAAAAAATCATATACATGTATCATTGAGGTAAAGTAATATTTTGAATAAACCTGAATTTATAGTACTAAAATTTGAGATATTTGTATTCTGATTAATGATTAGATTGATTGACTGTATGTTGTTTTACGTCCCATCCGACGATTTTTCACTCATAAAGAGAAGTGACCATATATCGATGAAGTGAAGGGATTCAAATTTGGGACTATGGGTCATTGAGTACTGATATTTCTTTATCGTGCCAACGTCTACCGTGGCACGGAACCTAAGTTTATAAGGACTCATATGAAAAACTCGTGACTTTCACTTCTAATGCCGGGCGCTTGGAAAAGGAACTACAACCTTGTATGTTTACGTATTAAGTATGACGCAGCGCGGCGAACGAAAATTGAAGTTTGGCCTTCTGATCACAAATAATTTGCATTTTTTTGGGATGTTTGTATGTTTAAGAAGTTTTCCTGTAAGGAAAAAAAAAACAAGAAGAGTTTTTCCAAACATTGTCAGGTGAAAAATTGACATAATTGTGGTCTAACCCTAACACTAGGTATAATGATAAACAAAATCTTGATTACATGATTTTACGAAAATGAGATTTGATGTCAAGAAAAATGACGTGAATTTAAAAAATTCAATATTTTTTTTTAGAAATATAGTGTATTCTTGTCGATATTGTGATAGGAATATAGGGAGCACATGTCTGCTCAGATTTGATCTTTTAATACGATGTGTAGAAAGGTAATATCAATGAAATGTGTGACTATTTTACCTGAGCTAATGTGCTCTATACATACTGTAGTCAAAATTAAACAATCTGTGTCCATTACAAATTAATGGGAAATTCTAATGTGATGTCACAAAGACAAATAATGTCACAATGTCAATTATGTGTTTCCAATCTATAATGTACTTTGCTAATTCAGAATTTTAAATGCAATTAGTGCAGTGGTGCACAATTAAAGAGAAGTTTAAAATTGTAAGAATCTGGGGACAGGAACGTGGCTTTACCGAAAATAGTTCTTTTATTAATGAAATACGAAGATAAAAGGCTCTGGCTCAGGTGTTCTACAAAATACTGCTTAAGTTTTTTTTTAATGTATTATATAATGTAAAAGAAAATACTGAAAGGTTACTAATGTCCTTGATATGCAAAAACTGTTTGATTCGTGACTAAGTGTTCACTGAATGGTAACTGAAAAACTTTCGGTAGCCATATAGTGAACCTCAGTGGTCTTTTTGTTACTATTCCATCGACGGTCAGGTATAATTTCAGCCTGTAAAAGATACTTTGTAGAGTTTCTTTTAGTAACTCTAGAGAATCAAAAATAACCGAAAGGACTAAGATAGACAGAAACATACAAAAAAGAAAACAAAACAAGAGTGACAAAAATATTTATACCTGTTGTAGATGAAGAAGTGGTAGTTGATAAAGAAGGTGAGCTTGGTCCTCCTGCGGTAGCAGGAGTATAAGATATCGTAGCTGGCGTGAAGGCTGCTGCACCTGTTGTTCCAGAAGGCACAGATGTCGTTCCCATTGACGAAGTAGAAGTAGGAGTAGAACCTGACACAGGGGTTAATGTAAAGCCACCCTGAGTTGTTCTTAACGGAGTCGTCGTAATGCCTGGTGGATTAGGGTATGCAAAGCATGTTACATGAATATGCTAAACATGCAAATATCAAATAAAAGCTACAAGGAAATGCTAAAACAGCTGTGTCTCGTTTGTGTAGGTGTCTTTTTGAGTAAAAGAAAAGAATTTAGGTAATAATAAACTAAAACAAAGTCAAAAAATATTTATTTTCTGGGACAACCCTCAAAATACTGATTTAAACCAATAAGTTTCAACGAGATGTTAAGAATTAAAAAAAAAGCTTCATTCTTACCTCCAAAACAGGCCTTGATAGAGATCACCAAAAATATATCAGCCGTGGCGTCAACAGGCTGTATTCTTATCTCTACCTCTGTGGCCAATTTTCCTTTCAGATCAGCTGGTCCAGTCTCTGGGAATAGCTACAACATATTTTTTTTAAATATCTAAATACTTTTTCATGTTAGATGTACATGACATGAATATTATTAAATTATTATTAACATTATATATATAATAAACTATATTTTATATATATATATATATATATATATATATATAACCATTTTACAAAAACATACTGTTTCCAACTTTATCTTTTGGCTATTGGGTTATGTTTTACCTCTTTCCAGTACTTTCATGCGACATATATATGTAAATTGAGTCTAGGTTAACAATTTGACTCAAATTTTTTAAAGCATAATCTATATCGATTAAATATATAAAATTCTCATATACGAGGGCCGTTCAAAAATTACGCGGACTCTTCTATTATTTACTCTTATAGACGTCATATAGAACTGAAATTTCACAGAAACATATTTCCTAAAGATTCCAATAAATCCTTGGTAAATATTTTGATTTTATTCAATATCTCTTAAAATTATTGCTGTTTTGATATTGCTGATGGTGATGTACGGAGCACGGCAAAAATGTTGAAATACAAAAATGCGGTATCCAATATTTTATTCATTTATTTTCCATATTTCACGAAATTATTCAACAATTTTCTCTAAAAATTTCTTTATATTGTTGTATTATTAAGTATTTAGATTTCTGACGTAATATTTGAAGTACTAACAGAAATATTGCAATTTTTCTCCGACGTGACCCCTAAGAAATCAACTTCAAAAATGACGTCTCGTAATTTGACGGAGCAGCGCACTTTTATCAAATCATGAATCGTGCTGGGAAAACGCCAGCGGAGACCCAAAATAAGCTTGATGAAACATATAGTAAACCAGCGGAATTTCCGACGCATTTCTACAAAATATAGAAAAGAATTTTAGACTGTTAGATCTTAGTCAAAAGACAGTCCGGGAGGGATGGAAGAAGTTCATCGACAAAACACTGATCTGGACTGTTAAGGATATGATTGAGATCGACTGACGTCAAAATTTACTTCAAAAATATCTGCAGTTTTGGGGTTTAATACAAACTGGAACACACAATACTAGTTTTATAATTTTTAAGCTGGATCAGAAATGGTATATGGATGTTTATTTTGAGTGGTTAAGGTAACCCAAACTAAACAGTATCATATACTAAGGGAAAATATTGAGATAATGGAAGCTCCCATTTTTTAAAATGCCCGTGACGTTAAAGGTTTTACTGCGCCGTGACTTCATGATATGTCCTGTTAAATCACCCGAAATTGATACTAATTTACAATATTTTTATATGAAATTTTGATGACCATATATAAAAAGATTCTTTTATATCATTTGTGACTTCTTGCTTGATTATGTCGTCAAATAAATTTTCTGTGCAACAAGTCCGCGTAATTTTTGAACGGCCCTCGTATAAGCCAAATTTTTTTTATCCAATCTTCTAAGACAAAATTCAATTGATATAACACTTATACACTGCTTCGCAATGTCATGCCTTTAAAATAAAATTCGTAGCAATTATTTGTTAACACTTCTCTTTTGTCTATATGGACTTAAAATAATTCTATAGACATAATTGTTTATGTTAAGAAATTTAATCCTTCATTTCAATTATCTCCAAGATAAATATATAAATATCACAAAGAAATGGTAAACGTTAGCGAATAAAAATCAATACTTAAAAAAGTGTGTTTTATCATGTGATGCTTAACAATTACCTGCCATACTTAATAATTTTACAAGTAATGACAAAAAAAATTACTTTTCCGCCTTCCAATGGGTACAAAGTGTCATCCCCTGGCTTTTTGTATGAAACTGTGAAAGATTCGATATTGCTTTGACCAACTTTGCTCTCCGGCAGAAGTTCATCGGGACTGACATTAATCTCTCCAACTTCCACGCCGTCAGGAGTAAGACTTATTTTAATGACTACAGGCTTATCTGAACTTGTTTGCTTTATAGTTAGTGGACCATCAACATTTCCAGGCCTCACTTTATCCAAATCAGAAGGAGAAACGACATTGTTGGGGAAAACTATGTTAGAGGAAGGGATCTGGGAGAAGTCATCCATTCCCTCTTGCTGTGTACAGATTGTTGTTGTAGAAGGAGTAGAGCCTAAAAAAACAAACAAAATTATGATTTCAATCAATAGAATGTTTTTCTCAAGTTCAAATTCAATAAGCTGATGAAGAAATCGCTGAAATTACTATAATGTTATTGACCGCTACAGTGGTTACAGTTCTTCGTACCTCTGTTCACTTGTATAAAGTTTTTCACTAACGCTAGTAAATTTTCAAAAGAAACCTTATTCAAATTGAAAATACACAAAATTTCAGCGTAATTTACAGGGTAAAATTGGACAGAAATGGATTTTTAACTTTATTTCAGAAAAAAAAAAATAAGTCCATTATCCTATTTATAGTTTTAATTTTCTATTTGTAATACAAGTACTATATCTCTGGTGATGTGGAACAAAACATTCAGTATTGAGTAAAAAACTACAGAATGATTTTACTTCTTTGTACAAACTTCCAAACATTAAAACGGGATTTAAAAATGTTAATATAAATAAAAGTTATTAATACTTCTCCGCAAAGAAAATATCTATATAATGATCTCTCGAAAAATTTCAATGACATAATCATTTCAGCAAAAATACATGCATATATTTCATGACAAATGAAAATATTTCAAAAAGATAAAACGATAAAGCCTTAATTTTCTAACGTATTTGATATATTAAATATCATTCAAACTTCAAAGAAAAGAGGAACATTTTCAATATTACAAACAAATATAACGTCATGATTCCATTTTATTTAGAAGCATACTGCAAAAAATTTGTATCTTATATTGCAATATTACAATTAAACAACTTCAATTGTCAATCTTTAAATATTATTTTAAGCTAAACCAAAAAATTCTCATTAAGAGTCAAAATAGATTGAAGTTTGTTTGTTTGCTTTGTTTAACGTCCCTTCGAGAGTCCACTCATATTGAGACGCAACCACTTGCCGGTGGAGAGCTGTAAATTTAGACCTGTACTCGGATCTAAGGGTCTTTGGGCTACCTACTGCGACACGGGACCTCAGTATACGGTCTCATCCAAACCGTTCCACGTCATGCAGTGGGACTCGAGCCCACGAGGTTAGGATCAACTCCGCGAGTCAGCAACAAATGCGCAACGCGGACGACATAGATATAGGAAAAATGTTTTTACAAGCTATAAAATACTTTAATCACGTAGCTTACTAGTAGTTGTAACGAAATATGTAGTTGTCACCAGTGCTGTTGTTGTTACAACTCCAGGTTTCTCTGTAGTTTGAGTTGTAGATATCACTAAAAAGGTAATTATTTCATACAAATTAAATAAGCTTCTGATGTAAACGGCTTGATATAATTTTATAAAAACATTTCATAACACTTCAATTTTCAAATTAATTTTCAATTTCAATGACATTTTTGCATTACTATAAATTTGAAAACAAAAGAACAAATATTAAAAAGAAGAACAATGAAAACTTACCCTCTATACAGGCCTTCACCTTGACATCAGACACTGTTGAAGGTTGACTTGTGTCCTTCTTGGTTATCTTGACAGTTATCTTTGTTCCCTCTTCTCCGTTGAAGTTCACTGTCACAACTCCGTTTGGTTGGATAACAGGTGTCTGTAATGAAAATTCAAACATTTACACAACCTATATTCTATATTACATTTGCATTTTTTTTTTTTCGTGCATCTCTCTTAGGCCTGACTTTTGTCCATCACAAAGGCACAAATACAGGAGGCAACCAACCTTGGTTATTTTTTCTCCGTTTGGTTCTTCAAGTTCCACGTCCACTCGCTCAGCATTGGTAACCGTAACGCTGACCTCGGTCACACGAGGAGGCGTCTCTTTGTTCAAGTCGAATACAACTGTGGGAGTGGGGTTGTCCGTCGTGGTAGTGGCTCCGGTAGGACTCAGTATCTTTGGAAGATCGCCTGTTGGAATGTCGCTACTGCTGGGTGACAACACATCCACACCAACTGGCAGCATAGCATCGGCACAGGCTAAAAACACACAAAGCATCTATCAATACCGATATTTACCAGTTAATTACTTCTCCAAATTAAGAGACTTTTCCTTCCCTTACGCTCTATTCCAGCAAAAAGTCAGAGAAGAAGATTTTACTCACTTGTGGTTGGAGTAGTGGTTGGTGCGCTGGGGGTTGTTGTTGGTACTGAAACAGAGGGTGTGGGCCCGCTGGGTGTTGGAACGCTTGGTGTGGTGCCAATGGTTGTGGTCGATGCTGTCGTTGTGGCTACAGGAAAAGATTAAAGATATTCTTACATAAAATGACACTAGAGTATGTCCTGTACATCCTTTTGTATTTTTTGGCCACACGATGGAAAGTCAGATGAAGAAAGTTTTTTCATCGAAATAGTATATTTAACTCGCAATTTCCATGCTTGAGATCAGAGGAATCTCAAGTAGGTTCAGATCAAAAAACAATGCAATAAGAGGTCATAGCTGTATATAAAGGATAGTTTTCCTGCCTGGAGGCACATGTTGCATAATACCCAGAAATCTTAATCTATCACTGGTCTAGGTTTCATCGGTGCAATACTTTACACTCTTGTATGTTTACAGCAGAGTACACTTACCCTCTATACAGGCCTTCACCTTGACATCAGACACTGTTGAAGGTTGACTTGTGTCCTTCTTGGTTATCTTGACAGTTATCTTTGTTCCCTCTTCTCCGTTGAAGTTCACTGTCACAACTCCGTTTGGTTGGATAACAGGTGTCTGTAATGAAAATTCAAACATTCACACAACCTATATTCTATATTACATTTGCATTTTTTTTTTCGTGCATCTCTCTTAGGCCTGACTTTTGTCCATCACAAAGGCACAAATACAGGAGGCAACCAACCTTGGTTATTTTTTCTCCGTTTGGTTCTTCAAGTTCCACGTCCACTCGCTCAGCATTGGTAACCGTAACGCTGACCTCGGTCACACGAGGAGGCGTCTCTTTGTTCAAGTCGAATACAACTGTGGGAGTGGGGTTGTCCGTCGTGGTAGTGGCTCCGGTAGGACTCAGTATCTTTGGAAGATCGCCTGTTGGAATGTCGCTACTGCTGGGTGACAACACATCCACACCAACTGGCAGCATAGCATCGGCACAGGCTAAAAACACACAAAGCATCTATCAATACCGATATTTACCAGTTAATTACTTCTCCAAATTAAGAGACTTTTCCTTCCCTTACGCTCTATTCCAGCAAAAAGTCAGAGAAGAAGATTTTACTCACTTGTGGTTGGAGTAGTGGTTGGTGCGCTGGGGGTTGTTGTTGGTACTGAAACAGAGGGTGTGGGCCCGCTGGGTGTTGGAACGCTTGGTGTGGTGCCAATGGTTGTGGTCGATGCTATCGTTGTGGCTACAGGAAAAGATTAAAGATATTCTTACATAAAATGACACTAGAGTATGTCCTGTACATCCTTTTGTATTTTTTGGCCACACGATGGAAAGTCAGATGAAGAAAGTTTTTTCATCGAAATAGTATATTTAACTCGCAATTTCCATGCTTGAGATCAGAGGAATCTCAAGTAGGTTCAGATCAAAAAACAATGCAATAAGAGGTCATAGCTGTATATAAAGGATAGTTTTCCTGCCTGGAGGCACATGTTGCATAATACCCAGAAATCTTAATCTATCACTGGTCTAGGTTTCATCGGTGCAATACTTTACACTCTTGTATGTTTACAGCAGAGTACACTTACCCTCTATACAGGCCTTCACCTTGACATCAGACACTGTTGAAGGTTGACTTGTGTCCTTCTTGGTTATCTTGACAGTTATCTTTGTTCCCTCTTCTCCGTTGAAGTTCACTGTCACAACTCCGTTTGGTTGGATAACAGGTGTCTGTAATGAAAATTCAAACATTCACACAACCTATATTCTATATTACATTTGCATTTTTTTTTTTCGTGCATCTCTCTTAGGCCTGACTTTTGTCCATCACAAAGGCACAAATACAGGAGGCAACCAACCTTGGTTATTTTTTCTCCGTTTGGTTCTTCAAGTTCCACGTCCACTCGCTCAGCATTGGTAACCGTAACGCTGACCTCGGTCACACGAGGAGGCGTCTCTTTGTTCAAGTCGAATACAACTGTGGGAGTGGGGTTGTCCGTCGTGGTAGTGGCTCCGGTAGGACTCAGTATCTTTGGAAGATCGCCTGTTGGAATGTCGCTACTGCTGGGTGACAACACATCCACACCAACTGGCAGCATAGCATCGGCACAGGCTAAAAACACACAAAGCATCTATCAATACCGATATTTACCAGTTAATTACTTCTCCAAATTAAGAGACTTTTCCTTCCCTTACGCTCTATTCCAGCAAAAAGTCAGAGAAGAAGATTTTACTCACTTGTGGTTGGAGTAGTGGTTGGTGCGCTGGGGGTTGTTGTTGGTACTGAAACAGAGGGTGTGGGCCCGCTGGGTGTTGGAACGCTTGGTGTGGTGCCAATGGTTGTGGTCGATGCTGTCGTTGTGGCTACAGGAAAAGATTGAAGATATTCTTACATAAAATGACACTAGAGTATGTCCTGTACATCCTTTTGTATTTTTTGGCCACACGATGGAAAGTCAGATGAAGAAAGTTTTTTCATCGAAATAGTATATTTAACTCGCAATTTCCATGCTTGAGATCAGAGGAATCTCAAGTAGGTTCAGATCAAAAAACAATGCAATAAGAGGTCATAGCTGTATATAAAGGATAGTTTTCCTGCCTGGAGGCACATGTTGCATAATACCCAGAAATCTTAATCTATCACTGGTCTAGGTTTCATCGGTGCAATACTTTACACTCTTGTATGTTTACAGCAGAGTACACTTACCCTCTATACAGGCCTTCACCTTGACATCAGACACTGTTGAAGGTTGACTTGTGTCCTTCTTGGTTATCTTGACAGTTATCTTTGTTCCCTCTTCTCCGTTGAAGTTCACTGTCACAACTCCGTTTGGTTGGATAACAGGTGTCTGTAATGAAAATTCAAACATTCACACAACCTATATTCTATATTACATTTGCATTTTTTTTTCGTGCATCTCTCTTAGGCCTGACTTTTGTCCATCACAAAGGCACAAATACAGGAGGCAACCAACCTTGGTTATTTTTTCTCCGTTTGGTTCTTCAAGTTCCACGTCCACTCGCTCAGCATTGGTAACCGTAACGCTGACCTCGGTCACACGAGGAGGCGTCTCTTTGTTCAAGTCGAATACAACTGTGGGAGTGGGGTTGTCCGTCGTGGTAGTGGCTCCGGTAGGACTCAGTATCTTTGGAAGATCGCCTGTTGGAATGTCGCTACTGCTGGGTGACAACACATCCACACCAACTGGCAGCATAGCATCGGCACAGGCTAAAAACACACAAAGCATCTATCAATACCGATAATTACCAGTTAATTACTTCTCAAATTTAAGAGACTTTTCCTTCCCTTACGCTCTATTCCAGCAAAAAGTCAGAGAAGAAGATTTTACTCACTTGTGATTGAAGTAGTGGTTGGTGCGCTGGGGGTTGTTGTTGGTACTGAAACAGAGGGTGTGGGCCCGCTGGGTGTTGGAACGCTTGGTGTGGTGCCAATGGTTGTGGTCGATGCTGTCGTTGTGGCTACAGGAAAAGATTAAAGATATTCTTACATAAAATGACACTAGAGTATGTCCTGTACATCCTTTTGTATTTTTTGGCCACACGATGGAAAGTCAGATGAAGAAAGTTTTTTCATCGAAATAGTATATTTAACTCGCAATTTCCATGCTTGAGATCAGAGGAATCTCAAGTAGGTTCAGATCAAAAAACAATGCAATAAGAGGTCATAGCTGTATATAAAGGATAGTTTTCCTGCCTGGAGGCACATGTTGCATAATACCCAGAAATCTTAATCTATCACTGGTCTAGGTTTCATCGGTGCAATACTTTACACTCTTGTATGTTTACAGCAGAGTACACTTACCCTCTATACAGGCCTTCACCTTGACATCAGACACTGTTGAAGGTTGACTTGTGTCCTTCTTGGTTATCTTGACAGTTATCTTTGTTCCCTCTTCTCCGTTGAAGTTCACTGTCACAACTCCGTTTGGTTGGATAACAGGTGTCTGTAATGAAAATTCAAACATTCACACAACCTATATTCTATATTACATTTGCATTTTTTTTTTTCGTGCATCTCTCTTAGGCCTGACTTTTGTCCATCACAAAGGCACAAATACAGGAGGCAACCAACCTTGGTTATTTTTTCTCCGTTTGGTTCTTCAAGTTCCACGTCCACTCGCTCAGCATTGGTAACCGTAACGCTGACCTCGGTCACACGAGGAGGCGTCTCTTTGTTCAAGTCGAATACAACTGTGGGAGTGGGGTTGTCCGTCGTGGTAGTGGCTCCGGTAGGACTCAGTATCTTTGGAAGATCGCCTGTTGGAATGTCGCTACTGCTGGGTGACAACACATCCACACCAACTGGCAGCATAGCATCGGCACAGGCTAAAAACACACAAAGCATCTATCAATACCGATAATTACCAGTTAATTACTTCTCCAAATTAAGAGACTTTTCCTTCCCTTACGCTCTATTCCAGCAAAAAGTCAGAGAAGAAGATTTTACTCACTTGTGGTTGGAGTAGTGGTTGGTGCGCTGGGGGTTGTTGTTGGTACTGAAACAGAGGGTGTGGGCCCGCTGGGTGTTGGAACGCTTGGTGTGGTGCCAATGGTTGTGGTCGATGCTGTCGTTGTGGCTACAGGAAAAGATTAAAGATATTCTTACATAAAATGACACTAGAGTATGTCCTGTACATCCTTTTGTATTTTTTGGCCACACGATGGAAAGTCAGATGAAGAAAGTTTTTTCATCGAAATAGTATATTTAACTCGCAATTTCCATGCTTGAGATCAGAGGAATCTCAAGTAGGTTCAGATCAAAAAACAATGCAATAAGAGGTCATAGCTGTATATAAAGGATAGTTTTCCTGCCTGGAGGCACATGTTGCATAATACCCAGAAATCTTAATCTATCACTGGTCTAGGTTTCATCGGTGCAATACTTTACACTCTTGTATGTTTACAGCAGAGTACACTTACCCTCTATACAGGCCTTCACCTTGACATCAGACACTGTTGAAGGTTGACTTGTGTCCTTCTTGGTTATCTTGACAGTTATCTTTGTTCCCTCTTCTCCGTTGAAGTTCACTGTCACAACTCCGTTTGGTTGGATAACAGGTGTCTGTAATGAAAATTCAAACATTCACACAACCTATATTCTATATTACATTTGCATTTTTTTTTTCGTGCATCTCTCTTAGGCCTGACTTTTGTCCATCACAAAGGCACAAATACAGGAGGCAACCAACCTTGGTTATTTTTTCTCCGTTTGGTTCTTCAAGTTCCACGTCCACTCGCTCAGCATTGGTAACCGTAACGCTGACCTCGGTCACACGAGGAGGCGTCTCTTTGTTCAAGTCGAATACAACTGTGGGAGTGGGGTTGTCCGTCGTGGTAGTGGCTCCGGTAGGACTCAGTATCTTTGGAAGATCGCCTGTTGGAATGTCGCTACTGCTGGGTGACAACACATCCACACCAACTGGCAGCATAGCATCGGCACAGGCTAAAAACACACAAAGCATCTATCAATACCGATATTTACCAGTTAATTACTTCTCCAAATTAAGAGACTTTTCCTTCCCTTACGCTCTATTCCAGCAAAAAGTCAGAGAAGAAGATTTTACTCACTTGTGGTTGGAGTAGTGGTTGGTGCGCTGGGGGTTGTTGTTGGTACTGAAACAGAGGGTGTGGGCCCGCTGGGTGTTGGAACGCTTGGTGTGGTGCCAATGGTTGTGGTCGATGCTGTCGTTGTGGCTACAGGAAAAGATTGAAGATATTCTTACATAAAATGACACTAGAGTATGTCCTGTACATCCTTTTGTATTTTTTGGCCACACGATGGAAAGTCAGATGAAGAAAGTTTTTTCATCGAAATAGTATATTTAACTCGCAATTTCCATGCTTGAGATCAGAGGAATCTCAAGTAGGTTCAGATCAAAAAACAATGCAATAAGAGGTCATAGCTGTATATAAAGGATAGTTTTCCTGCCTGGAGGCACATGTTGCATAATACCCAGAAATCTTAATCTATCACTGGTCTAGGTTTCATCGGTGCAATACTTTACACTCTTGTATGTTTACAGCAGAGTACACTTACCCTCTATACAGGCCTTCACCTTGACATCAGACACTGTTGAAGGTTGACTTGTGTCCTTCTTGGTTATCTTGACAGTTATCTTTGTTCCCTCTTCTCCGTTGAAGTTCACTGTCACAACTCCGTTTGGTTGGATAACAGGTGTCTGTAATGAAAATTCAAACATTCACACAACCTATATTCTATATTACATTTGCATTTTTTTTTCGTGCATCTCTCTTAGGCCTGACTTTTGTCCATCACAAAGGCACAAATACAGGAGGCAACCAACCTTGGTTATTTTTTCTCCGTTTGGTTCTTCAAGTTCCACGTCCACTCGCTCAGCATTGGTAACCGTAACGCTGACCTCGGTTACACGAGGAGGCGTCTCTTTGTTCAAGTCGAATACAACTGTGGGAGTGGGGTTGTCCGTCGTGGTAGTGGCTCCGGTAGGACTCAGTATCTTTGGAAGATCGCCTGTTGGAATGTCGCTACTGCTGGGTGACAACACATCCACACCAACTGGCAGCATAGCATCGGCACAGGCTAAAAACACACAAAGCATCTATCAATACCGATAATTACCAGTTAATTACTTCTCAAATTTAAGAGACTTTTCCTTCCCTTACGCTCTATTCCAGCAAAAAGTCAGAGAAGAAGATTTTACTCACTTGTGATTGAAGTAGTGGTTGGTGCGCTGGGGGTTGTTGTTGGTACTGAAACAGAGGGTGTGGGCCCGCTGGGTGTTGGAACGCTTGGTGTGGTGCCAATGGTTGTGGTCGATGCTGTCGTTGTGGCTACAGGAAAAGATTAAAGATATTCTTACATAAAATGACACTAGAGTATGTCCTGTACATCCTTTTGTATTTTTTGGCCACACGATGGAAAGTCAGATGAAGAAAGTTTTTTCATCGAAATAGTATATTTAACTCGCAATTTCCATGCTTGAGATCAGAGGAATCTCAAGTAGGTTCAGATCAAAAAACAATGCAATAAGAGGTCATAGCTGTATATAAAGGATAGTTTTCCTGCCTGGAGGCACATGTTGCATAATACCCAGAAATCTTAATCTATCACTGGTCTAGGTTTCATCGGTGCAATACTTTACACTCTTGTATGTTTACAGCAGAGTACACTTACCCTCTATACAGGCCTTCACCTTGACATCAGACACTGTTGAAGGTTGACTTGTGTCCTTCTTGGTTATCTTGACAGTTATCTTTGTTCCCTCTTCTCCGTTGAAGTTCACTGTCACAACTCCGTTTGGTTGGATAACAGGTGTCTGTAATGAAAATTCAAACATTCACACAACCTATATTCTATATTACATTTGCATTTTTTTTTTCGTGCATCTCTCTTAGGCCTGACTTTTGTCCATCACAAAGGCACAAATACAGGAGGCAACCAACCTTGGTTATTTTTTCTCCGTTTGGTTCTTCAAGTTCCACGTCCACTCGCTCAGCATTGGTAACCGTAACGCTGACCTCGGTCACACGAGGAGGCGTCTCTTTGTTCAAGTCGAATACAACTGTGGGAGTGGGGTTGTCCGTCGTGGTAGTGGCTCCGGTAGGACTCAGTATCTTTGGAAGATCGCCTGTTGGAATGTCGCTACTGCTGGGTGACAACACATCCACACCAACTGGCAGCATAGCATCGGCACAGGCTAAAAACACACAAAGCATCTATCAATACCGATAATTACCAGTTAATTACTTCTCCAAATTAAGAGACTTTTCCTTCCCTTACGCTCTATTCCAGCAAAAAGTCAGAGAAGAAGATTTTACTCACTTGTGGTTGGAGTAGTGGTTGGTGCGCTGGGGGTTGTTGTTGGTACTGAAACAGAGGGTGTGGGCCCGCTGGGTGTTGGAACGCTTGGTGTGGTGCCAATGGTTGTGGTCGATGCTGTCGTTGTGGCTACAGGAAAAGATTAAAGATATTCTTACATAAAATGACACTAGAGTATGTCCTGTACATCCTTTTGTATTTTTTGGCCACACGATGGAAAGTCAGATGAAGAAAGTTTTTTCATCGAAATAGTATATTTAACTCGCAATTTCCATGCTTGAGATCAGAGGAATCTCAAGTAGGTTCAGATCAAAAAACAATGCAATAAGAGGTCATAGCTGTATATAAAGGATAGTTTTCCTGCCTGGAGGCACATGTTGCATAATACCCAGAAATCTTAATCTATCACTGGTCTAGGTTTCATCGGTGCAATACTTTACACTCTTGTATGTTTACAGCAGAGTACACTTACCCTCTATACAGGCCTTCACCTTGACATCAGACACTGTTGAAGGTTGACTTGTGTCCTTCTTGGTTATCTTGACAGTTATCTTTGTTCCCTCTTCTCCGTTGAAGTTCACTGTCACAACTCCGTTTGGTTGGATAACAGGTGTCTGTAATGAAAATTCAAACATTCACACAACCTATATTCTATATTACATTTGCATTTTTTTTTTCGTGCATCTCTCTTAGGCCTGACTTTTGTCCATCACAAAGGCACAAATACAGGAGGCAACCAACCTTGGTTATTTTTTCTCCGTTTGGTTCTTCAAGTTCCACGTCCACTCGCTCAGCATTGGTAACCGTAACGCTGACCTCGGTCACACGAGGAGGCGTCTCTTTGTTCAAGTCGAATACAACTGTGGGAGTGGGGTTGTCCGTCGTGGTAGTGGCTCCGGTAGGACTCAGTATCTTTGGAAGATCGCCTGTTGGAATGTCGCTACTGCTGGGTGACAACACATCCACACCAACTGGCAGCATAGCATCGGCACAGGCTAAAAACACACAAAGCATCTATCAATACCGATATTTACCAGTTAATTACTTCTCCAAATTAAGAGACTTTTCCTTCCCTTACGCTCTATTCCAGCAAAAAGTCAGAGAAGAAGATTTTACTCACTTGTGGTTGGAGTAGTGGTTGGTGCGCTGGGGGTTGTTGTTGGTACTGAAACAGAGGGTGTGGGCCCGCTGGGTGTTGGAACGCTTGGTGTGGTGCCAATGGTTGTGGTCGATGCTGTCGTTGTGGCTACAGGAAAAGATTAAAGATATTCTTACATAAAATGACACTAGAGTATGTCCTGTACATCCTTTTGTATTTTTTGGCCACACGATGGAAAGTCAGATGAAGAAAGTTTTTTCATCGAAATAGTATATTTAACTCGCAATTTCCATGCTTGAGATCAGAGGAATCTCAAGTAGGTTCAGATCAAAAAACAATGCAATAAGAGGTCATAGCTGTATATAAAGGATAGTTTTCCTGCCTGGAGGCACATGTTGCATAATACCCAGAAATCTTAATCTATCACTGGTCTAGGTTTCATCGGTGCAATACTTTACACTCTTGTATGTTTACAGCAGAGTACACTTACCCTCTATACAGGCCTTCACCTTGACATCAGACACTGTTGAAGGTTGACTTGTGTCCTTCTTGGTTATCTTGACAGTTATCTTTGTTCCCTCTTCTCCGTTGAAGTTCACTGTCACAACTCCGTTTGGTTGGATAACAGGTGTCTGTAATGAAAATTCAAACATTCACACAACCTATATTCTATATTACATTTGCATTTTTTTTTTCGTGCATCTCTCTTAGGCCTGACTTTTGTCCATCACAAAGGCACAAATACAGGAGGCAACCAACCTTGGTTATTTTTTCTCCGTTTGGTTCTTCAAGTTCCACGTCCACTCGCTCAGCATTGGTAACCGTAACGCTGACCTCGGTCACACGAGGAGGCGTCTCTTTGTTCAAGTCGAATACAACTGTGGGAGTGGGGTTGTCCGTCGTGGTAGTGGCTCCGGTAGGACTCAGTATCTTTGGAAGATCGCCTGTTGGAATGTCGCTACTGCTGGGTGACAACACATCCACACCAACTGGCAGCATAGCATCGGCACAGGCTAAAAACACACAAAGCATCTATCAATACCGATATTTACCAGTTAATTACTTCTCCAAATTAAGAGACTTTTCCTTCCCTTACGCTCTATTCCAGCAAAAAGTCAGAGAAGAAGATTTTACTCACTTGTGGTTGGAGTAGTGGTTGGTGCGCTGGGGGTTGTTGTTGGTACTGAAACAGAGGGTGTGGGCCCGCTGGGTGTTGGAACGCTTGGTGTGGTGCCAATGGTTGTGGTCGATGCTGTCGTTGTGGCTACAGGAAAAGATTAAAGATATTCTTACATAAAATGACACTAGAGTATGTCCTGTACATCCTTTTGTATTTTTTGGCCACACGATGGAAAGTCAGATGAAGAAAGTTTTTTCATCGAAATAGTATATTTAACTCGCAATTTCCATGTTTGAGATCAGAGGAATCTCAAGTAGGTTCAGATCAAAAAACAATGCAATAAGAGGTCATAGCTGTATATAAAGGATAGTTTTCCTGCCTGGAGGCACATGTTGCATAATACCCAGAAATCTTAATCTATCACTGGTCTAGGTTTCATCGGTGCAATACTTTACACTCTTGTATGTTTACAGCAGAGTACACTTACCCTCTATACAGGCCTTCACCTTGACATCAGACACTGTTGAAGGTTGACTTGTGTCCTTCTTGGTTATCTTGACAGTTATCTTTGTTCCCTCTTCTCCGTTGAAGTTCACTGTCACAACTCCGTTTGGTTGGATAACAGGTGTCTGTAATGAAAATTCAAACATTCACACAACCTATATTCTATATTACATTTGCATTTTTTTTTTCGTGCATCTCTCTTAGGCCTGACTTTTGTCCATCACAAAGGCACAAATACAGGAGGCAACCAACCTTGGTTATTTTTTCTCCGTTTGGTTCTTCAAGTTCCACGTCCACTCGCTCAGCATTGGTAACCGTAACGCTGACCTCGGTCACACGAGGAGGCGTCTCTTTGTTCAAGTCGAATACAACTGTGGGAGTGGGGTTGTCCGTCGTGGTAGTGGCTCCGGTAGGACTCAGTATCTTTGGAAGATCGCCTGTTGGAATGTCGCTACTGCTGGGTGACAACACATTCACACCAACTGGCAGCATAGCATCGGCACAGGCTAAAAACACACAAAGCATCTATCAATACCGATATTTACCAGTTAATTACTTCTCCAAATTAAGAGACTTTTCCTTCCCTTACGCTCTATTCCAGCAAAAAGTCAGAGAAGAAGATTTTACTCACTTGTGGTTGGAGTAGTGGTTGGTGCGCTGGGGGTTGTTGTTGGTACTGAAACAGAGGGTGTGGGCCCGCTGGGTGTTGGAACGCTTGGTGTGGTGCCAATGGTTGTGGTCGATGCTGTCGTTGTGGCTACAGGAAAAGATTAAAGATATTCTTACATAAAATGACACTAGAGTATGTCCTGTACATCCTTTTGTATTTTTTGGCCACACGATGGAAAGTCAGATGAAGAAAGTTTTTTCATCGAAATAGTATATTTAACTCGCAATTTCCATGCTTGAGATCAGAGGAATCTCAAGTAGGTTCAGATCAAAAAACAATGCAATAAGAGGTCATAGCTGTATATAAAGGATAGTTTTCCTGCCTGGAGGCACATGTTGCATAATTCCCAGAAATCTTAATCTATCACTGGTCTAGGTTTCATCGGTGCAATACTTTACACTCTTGTATGTTTACAGCAGAGTACACTTACCCTCTATACAGGCCTTCACCTTGACATCAGACACTGTTGAAGGTTGACTTGTGTCCTTCTTGGTTATCTTGACAGTTATCTTTGTTCCCTCTTCTCCGTTGAAGTTCACTGTCACAACTCCGTTTGGTTGGATAACAGGTGTCTGTAATGAAAATTCAAACATTCACACAACCTATATTCTATATTACATTTGCATTTTTTTTTCGTGCATCTCTCTTAGGCCTGACTTTTGTCCATCACAAAGGCACAAATACAGGAGGCAACCAACCTTGGTTATTTTTTCTCCGTTTGGTTCTTCAAGTTCCACGTCCACTCGCTCAGCATTGGTAACCGTAACGCTGACCTCGGTCACACGAGGAGGCGTCTCTTTGTTCAAGTCGAATACAACTGTGGGAGTGGGGTTGTCCGTCGTGGTAGTGGCTCCGGTAGGACTCAGTATCTTTGGAAGATCGCCTGTTGGAATGTCGCTACTGCTGGGTGACAACACATCCACACCAACTGGCAGCATAGCATCGGCACAGGCTAAAAACACACAAAGCATCTATCAATACCGATAATTACCAGTTAATTACTTCTCCAATTTAAGAGACTTTTCCTTCCCTTACGCTCTATTCCAGCAAAAAGTCAGAGAAGAAGATTTTACTCACTTGTGGTTGGAGTAGTGGTTGGTGCGCTGGGGGTTGTTGTTGGTATTGAAACAGAGGATGTCGGTCCAGTTGGTGTTATGCTTGTTGTTGTCGTAGGACCTTTGTATTAGAATTGATAAGTTGCTTTTATGTGTCAAAATTTTTCACGCTTTATGTTTGTCGATAAATTTTTTTTGTGTGAAATAATTTTAGCAATTGAATAAGAGCTGCGCTTAAGCGAAAGGATATCAGGGAATGACGCATTTAGGAACTATTTACCTTGGAGAAATTCATATTTCAACTTAATAGTACTCAAGATTTGTTTCTAACGTTTGTAATTGGTTATATATTGTTTTACATCGTGTCAATTATGATAATCAAATGTAAGCAAATGGGAAAGGATATATTAGCAAAATATTTTTTTTATTTTAACCTCGGTAGCATTGACTTTTTTTTTAGCATTGATCCACTAACATCTTTCTGATATTAGCAATTTTTTTTAAAAAAATGAGCTTTAGATCTTTGTGTCTTTGACTTTCTCTTTTGACCTTAAGTCAAAGATCCCTCGAAATCTCACGTGATTTCAATCCGCCGTTAAGAAGTTGAATAAATTCAGAAATCTGAAACTTAATTTATCAGGATTTTTCAGAAGAAGGACGCTTTTGTCACATTTTTTAATCATCTTTCTATTCTATGCTTGCTAGATACTGCATATATTTTCCTGAGGTAAAATTTTCGTGGTTAGAGAAAGGAATATGGATTTGTGGGGATTTGATTTCGTGGATGAAGAATTGATGAGCAATAATGCATATAAAGATTTACATTTCGTTGCAGACTTGATTCGGGGTTTTTTTCATACCTCAAAAAGAACGAAAATTAAACCCCACGGAAATTAGTGATTTTACAGTATCTGAATTTAGAACATGTTATTAACATAAATCACACTAAAATCACAAAAGTAGCTCCTGATTAAATAGAATCTTTTAATTAGTAAACATTTACCCTATGTCTATTACAAATACTTTTAATCTATCTCACTACCGTGATATACGTAAAGTTTTGGGTTCATCCACTATTCTAAATCTGAAGCCATATAACCTTTTGATTACCTTGCGTGCATGCCTGAATTTTTACAGACGAGATTTTTGATGGATTCATTGTGATATCCTTATAAAGCTGTATTTTTATTGATTTGCCTTCGGTTCCCAGAAAATCGACCATTATTCTGCCTTCGTAAGTAACCTCCTAGCAAAAGAACAGATATATTTTAAATTGTAGATAATTTTACAAATTTTATGCTAGAATTCTTATGCTTTTAAATTAATCATTACATTTAACTAGCCATTAAAATCAGAGACAGTTCATTCTTTATACAATATATTTTTTTTTATTTTAATCTGTATCACATTTCAAGAACTTAAGAATAAAAGAACTTACTTTACTTGCTGCTGTCGTTCCATCTTCCCTTAAAATATCTACTTTGGTTTTATAAGCATTTGATACTGTCAGTAGAACATCATTTATCTTAGCATTATTGCTAAATGTCAAAATAGCAGATGTCAAAGATGTTTGTGCATTTTCAGAGGCACCAGTCACAGTAAAAATATCTTTGGGATTTGGATAAACGCTACTGCTCACAGTCACCAAGTCAGAGTTTCCTTCATTTACCATTATGTCTTGGCAGACTTAAAAATAAAATAAATTTCTCTCAGTACTATTTTTCTTCAATTTCAAAATCTGTTGTGAAAAGATATGAGAAAATATCATTTTCTTGGTTTCAATTGAAATCAATTTTATTGTGCAAGAACAAGACACAGATCACATTTCAGTTTTGGGATTTTTCGCGTACCAAGTATTGGACATAAAGATTAAGATGATGTTTACAGCATCTTTTAAATTAGATATTATCTTTTTCAGAAATTTATAGCTTAACTTCTATGTTCTCAAAAATTTCATTAAACCCTTTTACAAAGTCAATTTAACTTTGCACTTCAATTTGAGTTCAGAGAATTCTCCAAACTCTATAATCTGATTTCTTGGGGAGGGGCTGTTAGGATCCAAATTAGGGTGAAAAAAAGGGAGAGATTAAAATATAGATTAAAAGGTCTGGGGTAACCAGCCTTTCAATGAAATTTTCATACTCTATTAATAGTAGATATATATATCTTATATATATATTTTTTCTACAATGTTTAATGTAGCCAATTGGAGAGCTAGGAATTATTCTATAATATAATAATGAATGATATTAGAAAGATAACGCTGCAAATAATTTTTTTTGTCTAAAAATAGTGAACTTTAACCTATAAGGTTTTTTCACATTTTTCTTCTCTTAACACGTACCTGTTGTTGTAATGGGAGTAGTTTCTGTAACAGGAGTCGACTCAGTAACGGGGGTAGTCTCTGTTAATGACGGCGTTGGTGCTGCTGCAGAAATAAAAATTGAACAGTTTGATTTTGAGGTTTGAAATTGACTTTATATTCTACTTTTACTTTTTTATCTTCAGTGCATCTTTTATTGATAAATTTCCTATTGAAATGTACATTTAATTCATTATTTCAGCTCATTATTTTCTGACCTTAAATTGAATTCGTGCATGTTTTACAGATCAGTTTTATTTCAAAGAACAGGATAAAATTGCTATTATTTTTTAAAATAACTGTTGCGCCTTACAAACATATATATTAAATTTGTTTTAGTTTTTTTTCTCTCATGTTTTTATCAAAGAAAGGAGATTTAGACACACAAATAAAGGTCTCTGAGATATCAGGATAGGTCAAACTATATTTGTAATCTGGGCTGCGTTTTACAAAAGAACTTAACAAATAAGACCAAGATATGCTTTTGCTACTTTTTTTTACATTAATTTGAAAATGGATCGGACCTATTCTAAAAGAAGCTAGAGAGATATTTCTATGCAAACAATTTTTAATAGAAACACTAATTTTTACAAGATTTTACAAACAACAAAGTTTTGGTCTTAGTCGTAAGTTCTTTTGTAAAATGGTCCCCTGATTATCAACAAGAAACATGCCGATAGAGGGCTGCATATTTAAACCTCTACTCGGCATTTACAGCCTTATTTTAGCAGTGAGAGGCCTTTTTCGTGCCAGCACCTACTGCGACACGGTACCTCGATTTATACGGTCTCATCCGAGGGACTGGTCTCCACGTCCTGCAGTGGGATTCGAACCCGCGATGTAAGGATCAACTCCTTACTCTGCGACTCTAGAGCAAACCCTCTAACCATTGAGTCACGGGCGGGACCGCAGGATTTTAAGTTAATAAAAAAAATTATACTTTTTTATTGTATATATTTAGTGATCTAAAGTAAGAATTTCAAAATTAAAAGGATTCAATGTTTATGTTTTTATAAAAGGAATTTGTACGTAAGTGCCCCTGCGTAGAGAAAACTTTTATTATAAGGTTTAAATATTTAATAATACGATTAAAATTTTCCGATCTGGTTGTCTGAATCAGTGATCCGTGGGCTACAAAAATTTTTTAGAGGGCACAAGGAATATCAAAATCATTCAAACAGTTTTCCACTAAATAACCAGGAGGAAAAAGGAAGCTTTAAGGATAAAATGTCAAGCTATTGTCTAATGGCGTTCCAGTCTTCTATGGTTTATGGTAATGTTTTGAAGATCTGTGAGTACGGCTGACTTGAAAGCTTTTTTTTTCAGTTCATAATTACGAAAAAAAATTCTTACTAGTCGCTGGAGTGGTGGTTGATCCAGTGGGTGTTGTTGTTGGACCTGTAACAGAAGGTGTAGGTCCACTAGGCGTTGACGGCGCAGCAGTTGTGGTTGGTACAGCTACAATGATAATTGTTTACACCGATTGATATTTCTTGTCTTTAGTTTTATGTTGTCTTTATTCCATGCCTACATTTCACTTTTAATAGCTTTATTTCTACTGTGACAATAATGCTTGTTGAAAGTTACAAATGAGACTAGCTGTAATTTGCTTTATTTCTGTCATTCAAAAAGTTAGAAGACAAATAACATAGACAGCAAATATTGAGAGTTAATTTAATGTAAACGCAGTCTTAAAAGCTAAAAAACAAATGAAGATGTAACGTAAAGCAAAGGTCATTTCGTGAGAACGAAAAATGATTTATAAAGAGTGAAAGATAATAAATACCTGATGTTTGAGGAGTGCTTTCTGTTGCCACAGTTGTAGCTATAAAACAAAATAGATAGAGATTTTATTTCATTATTTTAACACGAAATTGCAGAAATCAAAGAACAGATGGATGGTCATTTTAAATAAAAATAATTCAAATACACCAATTAATGGTTTTCCTTCAGTACTTGATTTTATGAAGATGATGTTGAAGATAGCAGGAAGAGGGACTGCTATGAGAAAGTTGTCGGCGTTGCAGGAAATTTATCAAAACTATTAACTAATTTTGTTTTTCAAATTCATTACGCTAGGACCTATTGAGTGTTTTGTAATTTTCTTTTAAAAGGCTATGAAAGCTTTAGGAATAAAAAAAATCAAGAATATTATACATTTCAGCTATTTAATAAAAACAATTTATTTTAGGAAATTTGAAATTGAATTCATTGAATAATATACTTGATTATGACTGTATGGAACACTCAATTTTTATATCATAAGAAATTTTTTTAAAGGATTTTTAATTTTTTTTTTTTTTCATGAAACCCCTGGCTTTGACGATATGTACTTGAACTAATGTAAACATCCGCAAAACTTTACGACTTCATAATATTTGTATTATAATACAAATTTCTCTTTCCTCGGTGACTATGACCTCTGAGATCTGATCTTTGGTCAAAGAACATGAGTATTCAAGCTTTAATACATATTGATTGAGGGGTTTGAAAGTTAAGGACCAAGCAGAATTTAGATACATTCTTGTCCAATTATCCAGAAGTCATTAAAATCATTACATATGACGGCAGTTGGTCATCAGCAACAACATAATCACATATGCAGATGATAGACAAAACAAAATAAAGTTCGAAACAATTGAAGGGTTCTAGTGTGATTGTCCTGACTCTATTTACGATAAACAATCATGAAAATACCCATTATGTCGTTGTGGAAGACAAGAAAAGATTAAGCAACAGTCAAAATCAAGAGTCTCTGAAATTCAAATAAAGGAGGAAAGCGAGGGGAGTGAAGACTATTGAAGGATTCCAATGCACCAAAATAACATACTTGCTACTGTGGTGGTCACTGAAAAATCATGTAATGATTTAGAATACTTTCCATAAAACTATATCATCTTAAAACACAATTCAACATCATATTCAAAACACAGCTAGTATGAAATATATAACGGAATTTAAAAACGCAAATAAATTACTTCTACTACGCAGCTATGTTAAGGCTTCCCGAAGCTTTAAAATGCGCTCAAAACATAATATGTCATTGCGAGGTCGGTTTTGGTTTTAATTTATAAGTATTGAACTTCAGTACTTTCATTTTATATAAAGAGTTTCCTCGGCTATATATTAGCATATTTGTTATGATATCACATGACTTTGTTGATCACGTGACGGTCATTTATAATTTTTTGAAGTGTTTCATATAAATCGCTTCGGCGCAGCTGATTAACACAATAATTATTAACATTTTGTTATATAAATAAACTTATCGTATCCTTGTGTGTCCGAAATGTGCTTGGGAAAAGTCATAGTATTACTTGGGTAAAAAATATTTCCTGAGGAATTCAACTTACCTACAAATTTGAGGGTATTTTCCACACAATATCGTAATCTGTATTAAAACAAAGCCACTACACATTTTTCCCAAGCAAGATTCAGTTAGAGAACAACCTCTTCTTACAGATTTCCACAAAAATTCTCAGATTAATCCTCATTAATCACCTGCGCCAGACTCTTTTATACACACAAAATAAATTCTACCTCCAACCACGGGTATAAAACAGAGTACATTTCAAAAGTATATTTTTCATAAGCATTTTGAACATGATGAATTTCAATCAAGGGTAGGTAAGCGGTGTATTTTTAAAATATTCGGACATATAAGACTTAAAAAACCTTTAACGAACCGTGAATTTTGCAATAGCTATCTAGCATTTTACATGCAGTTTGAAATAAAGTGTAAAGTTCATGACACTTTCCCCGTCATAACACCACAAGTTTGCAGTGACCTGACGTCATTTTCCATTATGACGTCATATTTTGGTAGTTCAGAGATGTGAAGGCACAGAGTGCACTGTCATATTCTACGGGAAGCCTTAACCTACCTGCGTAGCTGCTATTATGTTTTTAGACAGGTGAAAGAGTCCTTGTACCTGGCTGTGTGCATGCCTTCACCTCTGTCTCTTTGACAGTTACTGGCTCTGTGATAGATTTTGGTGTTACAGTAATGGATATTCCTTTGCTAGGTTGACCATTGTAATCCAATATAATCCGTCCACTCGACGTCATTGTAGGTGTCTGAAGAAAATTTGTATAAAATGATACAAGATTCAATACCACATGAATCCTATCTCAAAACGTAGGATATTATTAAAAAGAAATGCATCATGCACTTGTAAATCGTTAAAGACAGTAAATAATCGTGACAAAATGATATCAGATAAGGAACATTCAATTGAAACTTTAAAATGTTAAATCATTTTTTTATAGATGCAATATCTTTCCCAAAATTAACATGATATGGTTTTAAATGATTTTTTTAACTTGAGTGTTTCATGACGAACCATTGTAGTTGGTAAACCATTTTCATCCTTTAATGAGACTTGGACATTTTTCCCGTTTGTAACTGTGAATACTACGTCAGTGACCTTTGGGGGTTCTGGTGTGTTAAAAGTCATATCAATCGTTACTGGCGTTAGTGAACCCAAGGTTGACGTAATTCCAGAAGTCGTAAATATATTAGTTGCTACAGAGCCTATTGGAAGGCCATTAGTTGTTACTGTCATTATGGATGACGTCGGTTGAAGCATCTCATCAGTACATGCTATTTGTAAAATTAAAAAATAAATTTATTCTCCCTGATGTCATGACAAGGTTTATCATTCATGCACACATTGTAAATGGAAATATTAACTTAATTCAACTTTTGTTGTTATCATTTTATTCAGTTTGCAACATATATCTACGAAATATCTCTTTTAATGCTTCTGGAAAGCATGAAATTATTTGCCATATATATATATATATATATATATATATATATATATATATATATATATATATATATTTATTTATTTATTTATTTATTTTAAAAGCATTTTTTTAATAAAATCCATTTTCGGAACTAATCTATCGACTGAAAATTTTGATTTTTGCACACATTTAACTAATATATTTACGTGTGGTTGGTGTCGAAACAGAGGGCGTGGTGGTAACTGGAAAAGAAAGTTCTTGTAAACAAAAACATTCAACTTCTCCAATAAAAATCAGTAAAAGCTTATAGAGTTTGAGTGTTTCTTTCACATGTGCATACTTACCACCATGAACACAAGCTACCAGATTCAGTTTGATCCTATATGGTTCGCTGGTGTCAGTCCTCTGCATAAGTGTGACATCTACAGCCGCCACTTTAAAATTATCTGGGAAAATTACTGGTCCAATACCAGTCTGTAGCCAGGATTCAAAAATGAGAACATAATATTTTGGTAAAACTCCCAGAATTATGGTCGTCTTTTCAAACTTAACATAATATTATAGTAAAACTCCAAGAATTATGGTATTCTTTTCAAATTTAACACTACTTGGCAATGAAGATTACATTTTAATCAACTTTGTAAACAAAAGCACTATTGGATAAAAGTTTTGTCACATGAATATGAAAGTAACATTTTCCCATTCGTTGTCAATATACTATGGTCTATTTGATGACTGTTTAAAGGTTTACTAGCAATACATTTCACGGAATGTGAAATTTTCACCATAAAAACTTCTTTCTGTTGAGACAATACTTACAAAGCCAGTAAAATCTTTTGAGGAGGCCGTCGCTGATACTTTGTAGGATACGGTAAGTTTCTGCACGTTGCTCTGATCCCCTGCAATATTCAGGCTCTTGATTACACTTCCGTCCGGATTTTCAGTCGTAGTTAAATCAACGCTAATCGTAGCAGTGTTACTGTCAATTTCTAATGCTGCGGTAGATCCAGGTCTTAGATTTTCGGCGGTAAGTGGGTCTTTGGGAGCTGGGTTGATGAAGATTTTGCTTGATGGAAGGAGGGCGGGATTTGACATGATCTCTTCACTCACACATGGTGTAGCTGAGGTTGGTGTGGTGCTAATAGCTACAAATATAAAATCAACTATCAAATTTTGTCCATTTTCTTCAGCTGCAATTCGTCATTCTCTCGCGCGAGTGGACAGATTGGGAATTTTGTTTATTTTCAAATGTAAATCACTATATAATAGAAACAATATATTTATGAAATTCTATTTTCATTCAATGTGGACAGTGTGAAGTAATGTAAAGTCTATATACATACGAGTGGTTGTTGTTGCTGGAATAAGAATGAAAGGAAATAATTAATAATTAGCAGTATATTATTTGATTTAGGAATTTCTCTCACTGCATTTATCTATATAATGATCTGTTTAATATCCAAACACTATCTCTGAACGGTTATTATGAAACTGAATTGTCCATATCGAACGTGACCTACTAACTTAATGCTATATAATCACAATCTTTACTTTCGTGAATAATTGCTGATGATAAACTTGATAGTGTAGGTTTGTAAAACTAGTATTTTTGTTATAACATTCCATCCTACAAACAAAAGAACACACATAACTGGATGTGAAATATGTATTAATCTGGAGTGGTCATATCACTTGTCAGAAAAGTCATAAACACGATAGAACTCAGAGACACAACTGGGCGTAAGATATGTAGTAATCTGAAGTGGTCCGATGACTTTTTAGAAAAGACATACACACGATAGAATGCCTACAAACAACTGGGCGTGAGATATAGAGTAGGCTGGAGACTGACCTGTTGTGGTGGTCACACAGTCCTTCTCGTCTGACTTATCAGAACAGTCATATACTCCGTCACAGTGCTGCGTACCATTGATACATTTCTCGTTGTCACAGGTGAACTCGTTCAAAGTGCATGCTAATAAAATAAGATGATTGTATGATTAATTGTAATAGCCGAAACAGATGAATTTACATACTTTTGTGATAACGATAAAAGTGTTACAAGATTATTGCAAAAAAGAAAAAAATAAATAACTATCACTTTTGTGAGTTTAAATATTACATACGGCACTCCATTTCATCTGAACCATCTCTGCAATCCAGGGTTCCATCACAACGTTGGGTTGGCTTTATGCATTCACAGGATGATGAACAGGTAAATTCGGTACTACTACAGGTACAGTCTGAAAACCACCGTACAGCATTACTGAATTTTAATCAATACAGAATCTTACTGTATCCATTGAATCTGAATTAAAATATAGCAAAACGAAGAAAATCTTACTCTTACTGGACCACTTAAGATCAAACACAGCTAAATAAACAGAATCTTACTGCATCCAACTTCATCTGATCCATCCCCGCAGTCGTCGTGTTTATCGCATTTCAGTGAAATCGGCAGACAGTTTGTGTTGTTCTTTCCACATCGGAAATTGCGTACCCTTGCGCAGGGTGTCTCTGAAGTTAGAATATATTGTTAAATACCTAATTCAGTTTAAACCCATATAACTCTTCATCTTAACTGTAAACAATTATTCCATAGAATATCAAAATGAATGACTTTCCTCGATATATATTTATTTGGAAAAATCTTAGGAAAAGTTACCTCCGCAATTAGTTTCATCAGAGTTGTCTCCCACCCCACAATCCATGTTACCGTCGCACTTAAAGGTAATAGGGATACACTTTCCGCTATCACAGGTAAATTCCTTTTGTGTGCATGTATAAGCTTTAAATAAAAACAGTATTTACGTAAAGTATATCTCAAAAAGAGATACATTACCTATGTTCTTTTGGAGTCATTTTCATAATACTCGACAAAAAATTATATTGTAAGAAATGGCATATATGATCGTCAATGCTTGAGAATGTTGAATGTTACTTTAAACTAAACCTCATTTTTAAAGTTTATCATTACATCGATTTTTATCCAATAAAAGTATTATCCTATTACAATAAATAAAAATGGTCTAGAAAATTGGAAGAAAGGGTACAGGATTTACGATTTTTTTTTTTACATTAATACTTACTGCAGTTCATTTCGTCCTCTCCATTAATACAGTCTCTCATTCCATCACATAAAACATTGCTATCCACACAGTAAGTCTTGTTAAGGTTGACACATTGAAATTGGCCAACTTTACATCCGTGTTCTAGGTGATTGGAACAAATTAATATTGGGATATTAATAACTCTAATGTTTATAATCTCACTTTAATATCAATGATTAATTGAAAGCTTAATCAAGTTCCTGGGTGTTTTTTTAGTATTTTTTTTTTATGTGTCAAACATTAGAAACCTTATTTTTCCCTGTAGTTTTTAAAAACCAATTTAACTATATGTATTTTAATTATACAATGATTTAATCTGTGTTTTACGTCACTTACCACAACCCTCTTCGTCACTTCCGTCGCGACAATCCACGTGAGTATCACAGCGGTACTCTTTTTTGATACAGTCTCCAGTACGATTACACGTAAATTCTGTGTCCTTACAGATTGTACAGTTTTCTCCAGCGCAGTGGAATTTTCCGTTAATGCAAGTACTAGGAAATGAAGATTGTTTGAGAAGATTGATCAGAACTGTCTAGAAAATATTTTAACAAAATACTGCCTTTCTGTTTTAGGGTTTTGAAATGTCTTACCAATTCAGGCAATCTCTTTGAATCACTGCTCCCTTTGGCCACTCTTGACCATTGTAAAAGCAAGGACAATCTTCAGCCAAAACACATCGGTCGTCTGCAAAGCAATTTAAATACATCAATTCACAGTAAATAAAGTTTTTATGTTGCATTCTCGAACCGAATCAAAAATATATATATTGGAAGGATTGGCACTAAAAAGGCAACGGTTAATGAGTGAAAAATGAATGTTAGATCCACCTACCTTTCTGGACGTATCCCTCCGGACAGAAGCATCCTTCCACACACTGGGTGTCGTTGCAGTAGGGTTCTGGCTCATCACCGATATTTCTACAGGTCTGGGGACAGGGAGAGGCGCAGGGAGTGTAACGGAAGCCATTCTCACACATAATAGCTATAATACACACAAATTAATATGCTTGTTATATTTTTCTATTACTTATTTTTGGGATTTCTTAATTTACAGATACAACTTTTTGCAAGATATACTTAGTTTTTTGAGTGCATTGTAAAAGTAAAAATTCAATCCCAAACTTCATAATACATTCCGATACTTCAGTTTCATTTCCCTCATTAGTGTATAATGCGGCACTTACGACAGACTTTCTGACTCCTCCATTTGACCGGATATCCGGCTTGATTACAGCGCTCCGCGAAGTCAGCTACCGCAGTGCAGAAACACTCACAGTCTCCTCCACTATCACATCTATAATAGGACAAGAATAATGAAAGCGAATAGGACAAAAATCACGATAATTCGAATAAAAAGGATCCAATTGAGGTACCGTGTTCTACATCAAAATGTAACTACATGAATCTTATTGAATATTGTCCATATGTTTAAAGAACTAAAGCAGATAATAAAATTCGTACATTAATAAACAGCTTAACCGACAAGCAATGTAGAGTTTATGATTATACCTGCAGGCATCAAACAGGCAATTAGAGTGATATCTTGTAACTACGGTGTCTGTGAGGAACTCTCGACAGGACTTGAAAATATCACTGTATATTATTCCACAGGATTCTTCGGCCCATTGTTTTCTGTGTGACAATTCACCCTACAATATAAAACAAAAAGAAATATTGAAAGACACTATGCTCTTTTTTTCATATTCGTTCTATCCACGGCTAAGATTTCCAGTAAGTATATTTAAGGAATAGACATAAACAAATAGTCCAAATTAAAACTTACAATTAGAAAAACAACGTGAAATGAGTACTTTTGGGTGAAGTTGTTAAAGAATTTGTGAATTTTTGTGAGCATACTTACAGAGCATGGTATGATTTCAGATGAACTTCCAACAGATGCTACTGGACAACTAGTAGATGCTGCCCAACTGTTGGCAAAGTCAGCGGCGGTTCCCTCGCTGCCATCGACCTTTTTATACTCATTGACAGAGTCTCCATCATAGTTACCACATAACCCTTCCACTCTTCCTTGCCAGATGGGTTTCAGGAACACATATACACGGGTACCTGTTATTTAGAAGGAAATTTGAAAAAAATGCAAAATAAAAATTGTTAAAAAGCAATTCTTTCTACCCTTATAGAAAACGTAGTTGCATCCTGGCAACAAGAATATTAAAGAAAATAGGTTTGATGACTAACCGCTGTCCCAGAGGATGGTGAGATTGTCACTGGGAGCGTGGATAGATGTCCAGAAACTCTGTTTAGTGATGACAATGTCATTAACTTTATATGTATTGTCTGTTGTACTATTCACGTCGTCTTTTCCTCGGACAAGGTTTATTTCCTGACCTCTGATAGAGATCTGGATAGATTTCGTACAGGACACATCAGTACTACCGCATTTTACGTTTTCCGTGATGATCTGAAAACTTTTGTCTTTGGCTCTAGAGAGTATGTACGAACAAACTCCTTGGAAGGAATAGGCAAGTCCATCAAATGTAGTGTAGTGGGGGTCTCCTGAAGCCCTGCAGACAGCTAAAAAGAGATCGAATTGAACAATTAGAGTTTTCCTATGGTCAAAAGATTCCTAAAATTACATTATCAGGCTTTATGGTAATTTACCTGGACAGTTCTTGTCTTCAATCTTTCTCCAGTTCTGGTTCTCACAACGACTGTGAATTAATTGTATAAAGTATTGAGTATAAATCTAATGTAGATTTAGATGTATTCAATGTTTGATTTTTTAAGATATTTCATAAAGTCTGAATTTTAAAAAAAGAAATTAAATATGTTATAGAGAACAACTCACAAAACTTTACATCCGTATGTGACGCTCTCACCGGGTTTATACCAATTAGTACCAAAGAGACATGGACATTGGTCGGAGGACACACATGTTCCCTATGGAAAGAATAGTTTTAGTGAAAACATATTCTTAAAAATATCATACTGATATTCCCAATCTAAACACTTTAAATTTTTTTTTGCATTTAACTTGGTTTTGAAACATCTCCAATCTCTAACAAGTTTCCAAAATATAAAATTTCATTCTTAGGCTTACATCAGGCGCCATGTAGGTAGTTTGGTTGTTATTTTCGTCGCAAACACAGCCGTCCATTAGTACGTCGTTGTCACAAATCATCTCTCGGCCGTACATCTCGCACGTCTTTCGGCAAGCTGAAACACCCTTTCGGTACACTTGATTCTTCGGACAGATTATTTGCTCCTCACAGCTCTCTTTTCCACACGCAAATGTACCGTTTGTACACGTACTAGAAAAGGTATAGCAATGCATATGTATGTTGAGGAGTGAAAAGTTTTCATTTTAAATGTGCAAACAGAAACTCAGGCATTATAATTTTAAGTGTTTAGCAATTCAAGCTTAATAAAGGGCAAATATATACAACTGCCTTACCAGTCTGTACACTTTCTGGTAACTACATCTCCTGCCTTCTTTATTCTGCTTTCTTTCGGTGAGTACTGATCGTAACATGTACACTGCTGAATGTTGACACAGGTACCGTAATCGTCTTGGACCTGACCATTAGGACACATGCACCCGGGTACGCACTCTTCCTCACAGTTGGAATCTGCTAACTGCTGGTCACGACACGTTCCGTGGCAAATTTTTGCACAATCTGTATATACTGACCCGGCTGATCCGTCTTGACTACAGCTTAAATAATTTTCTATTTTGAAATTAAAAAAAAAAACTTTAGAACACTTACCTAAAATCTGTGATTTTGTAAGTGAAAATACAGACGGCATTCTTAACACTATTGCCGATATCCATTCTCGTAAATGCTATGATGCTTTAAATATTTTATCTACAATTATAGGACATTGTACATACCACACCGATTGATATAAGCGCTGTGGTTGTACCATGGTACAAATAAACCACTAAATGTACAATGGCGGGAGAAGGCCGACACAGTGTCACACAAAGCCTCCATGTTAAGCTGGGTGGTCCGCTTCATCATATCGTAATTACATTGTGTGTAATAGAATTTGGACAACTCCTCGTGTTTCAGAATACATTCTGCAAAGAGGGCTCCACTAGCAGTGTCCATCAGAGGTTTACATGCTTCGTGTTTAGCCTCCATCTCTAAATTGTAGCTGTAAGTTCCCGTCTGACAGGTCGAATCACCGTACGCATTTGCAAAGTTCTGAATTAATGCCTGTTCTCCACCATTGGGCACTTTGAAGTCATCAGTGATGTCGTAATTGAATTGTCCACACATTCCCCTTACCTAAAAGCCATGTAGTTTTATATTATTGAGGCTGCTTTAAAGGCTTAGCATAGAAAAAAATTGTTTGAAAGGTACATCATTCATCCCTCCATTTTTCTCAATTACAGACCAAAAATGGAACAGAAACCCTATATCATGTTTCAGAGGGTCTAGATAAAAGTTGGTTTGTGGAGAACATTTTACTTTATCGTAAAAAGATGCTAGCTGCCAAATGCTTAATTTGTTCAAGCACATTCTTAACTTAAAACAACGATATATCAATATATAGCTTATATAGCAATGTAAATAACCAGTTATATTTCTTTTTTCTTACCTTGTTAGCATAAAATGGTTTAAGGTCTATGTAAAGAGTTCTTCTTTTATCGTAAAGAATCTTCAAGCCAAATGCTTTAACGACTCTAAACTTATTGGTGACGTCTTTAACATAGATTCCTCCGAAAGAGTAAGGTGTGTTTCGAATTGTGTCACTGTAGTCCACGTGATTAATGAATATTTTGTCTTTCTCCATCTTAACAATAGCACTTTGATATGTCAGTGTGATGCCACTGATACAATTCACGTCTTGGAAGTCAGTACACTTGTCCATTTTTACTTTGATCGTCATGTTAGCGCGTTCATTCTCTTGTGCAATATTAGAATCCGGCTATATAAGAAAAAAAAAACAACATACCATCCAAATTCGAGAGAAGTCAAACATAGTCAAAATAGCTTAATTTTTCTGAAAACATTTCAAGGAAAATATTTCTATTCATATCAATACATGTAGTTTCTTTTTTAATTCTTCAAATAGTTTCCATGCCAATCAAAAGGTTCCTTTTTTAACTTCATTTCAATAATTTGCTAAAAACTTTTGTAAGAAATGTTATCTTTTTGCATATCAATACCTCAACTAATGTATATGAGCAGGAGTCTGGAGCAAAACTGTAACGATTTCCATCAAATGTGGCGACGTGATTCAATCCTGTCATTTCACAGCTAGACGAACATCGGTCTTCTTCACAGGTCCATCTTCCTCTATCACAGGTGCTGAAAAATAGGACTTGAACGGTATACTAACAATTACCAAATTATTGAATGATTTTAGGAACCACACACAATTAAAGGTTGGCTTTTATGATAGAAAATTATTCTTTACAATAAACAATAACTTTCTATGTGGAATACTTTGAAACACTCTAGATCTTACCAAAGATTACAGCGTTGTTTAATGGTATCGCCATGCTTGTACTGCTTCTTGTTAAATTCACACATGCAGTCCTCTGCCTTGACACATTTTCCGTCCTGAAGGAAGGTCCCCACTGGACACTGACATCCGCTGATACACATCTTACACTCATCTGGCTCCACTAGGTAAAGTGTCCTGCAGGTCCGGGGGCAGGAGGAGGTACACTCAGAATATTCCAAGGGTGTGGGACACTCTCGTGCTGTAGTAAAATATAGTGGATTTGACATCTTTTTAACAATGTATTTCTTTATTTATTCCTATTATTGAATAAAAAGTATCATGTAATTTTTTTATATATCTTTAAAACGAGGTTTGATAAAAATGCCAGTCCCTACTTGCATTACTCATAGTCATACTCACGACATAAATATTTGGACCTCCATTTCATGACGATGTTGATAGCGGCACATTCCTGGGAATAAGCATTGGCATATTGGCATCGCACGTCGTTTCTGTCTTTTTCTGTCGTGGCTTTACAGTGCATATTCTTACACATTGTGTAGTACATCTTTGGGTTAATCTGTGGATAAGTGTGTAAAATGAGGTATCCTTACTTGGTAGTACAAACAAATTAATATATATATATATATATAGAGAGAGAGAGAGAGAGAGAGAGAGAGGTATTGGTTTCATTTTCATAAATTAGTTTTGTTTAATTGAAATCTTATATGGTACCAATTTTGATACACCAGATGCGCATTTTGACAAATTATGTCTCTTCAGTGATGCTCATGCCGAATCTATTACTTAATTTGATTAAATCTGAAATACAGTATTTTTCAAACATAGGTTTTACAACTCAATATAGGATTGCATTGGGTAATCTTTCTCTAGTGTAATTTCAATAGTTCTTTAATTTGAATGGCTATTTCCGAGATCCGTATCCAATGATATCCTTCTTCTGTTTGTATACATGTTATTCATTCACTAGGACAAAGCAGTATTAGTTTATAATATTATGCCTATTTTGTATCATCCTCATCTTTCAGGTATTCAATTTTCATGTTATTTATATTTTTTATTACTTCAACTTTTGATTAAATGCTATTCTGCTGATAAATACATCATCAATGTATCTATTATAACTATTATAAACTTCGTCATCGTACATGGTTATACATCGTATATCATAACTGAACGATTTGAATTTCTCAAATGTTTAACATATAGCGAGTTTACTTATTGAAATGGGAATATCTTTTTCATTATACATTTCATATTACTTGCAACATAATGTGTATTTTCATTGTTGGTCAATACCTTCAGTTAATATTTCTTCGGAAAAAAGGATTTTTTTATGTTACTCCGCTGTTAATGACATTAAACTGATAGTTATGATGTTAATTATATGAAACACGTCATCAGCAAATTTGATGTTAAAATTTCTCATACATTATTCTCTTGTTTGATTCAGAGCTGCTCTATTTCATGTACGTTTCTCCTTTGTAAAATATTTTTATACTTCTTTTTATCTCCCAATTACCCTTGCATATAGAACTTGAATTTCCTTTTTTTTTTTACTATTTGCTCTTTTGGAAGAGTCGTGCTATTTTCCTTTATTGTTTGTTTGTATAACCTCGAGAATTTTTCGCTCATATTGAGACGCCACCACTTGCCGGAGGAGGGCTGCAAATTTAGACCTGTACTCGCCCGCACTTAGAACTGCACTTACGGCTTTCGAACAGAGAGGGATCTTTTTCGTGCCAGCACCTAATGTGACACTGGACCTCGGTTTATACAGTCTCACCTGCGACGTAAGGATCAACTCCTTAGTCCGTGACACTAGAGTAAACGCTCTTACCACTGGGCGACCTTTTTTCTTTTATAATCTATTACTCAAAACTGTAATATTTAATTTAAACAAAGTCCCCAATGTACAAAATAACTTTAACAAATTGCAAATTACAGCAACTAGTTTTCCTTCAAATATTGGTAAAAAGCTAGCAATTGACAATGTTGACAAGATTATCTTCAGACACAGTTCATTGCATGCAAATGACAAGAAGAATATTTTGAAATGTGTTTCTTTGATTATCTTAATCTAACGGATATTATTTGTGTTTAAATGTAAGTTGTTTTTTTAAACAAAGGATCGATTCCATCCAATGTTTAAATAAATGGATTTAATAATATAATTTTGAACTTAGTTATGGCGTCATATTATTGGTAATAAGATTTCGTGTGCCTCCGTGTATACATATAAATAAGGAATCATACTTGACAATCATATTCATAATATATGTAATACATGTATTACATTGTAGGTTTTCAGACTCAAAAGCGTTTTTATAATCTTCTTTACAGATCATAAATCTCATACGTTACTTACAGCTGTATGACAGGGGTGAAGCAATGAGTTTATTAGGGCGCATGCGTCATTCGCAGCCTTTTCATCTTCTGGTGTACGGCAGTAATTTGGCATATAACCGGCTGGACTGCACTGTTAACATAAAAAGAAGGTGTTACACAGAACTGTAATGTTTGGATCAAATGCTTAAGTATAAATCTGTATAAACTTTATTGGCTGCCATATTGTCATAGAAATCTATTTTCTACGCCAATATCTACAATCTTCACAATATTTCAATTATGCCTTATTGTGATAAATCAGACTTTATTGTAAATTTAGACACGTCCTCATATCATTATATATTTATTCATGTCCTCTTTTTTTACTTTCTCAAAGATTTATCCAATTCCCTATGTTCAATTAATATATCTCCAAAGTGGCACAGAGGGAACAGCGATTTGTAATGGTGCCCTTTCTCCAAGGAGGGTCTTATGTAACATTTCGTGAAGTGATATTTGGGAAGATGTGAGCCATACACAGGATGGGATTGATTCCTTTAAAGGATGTTGGTAATGGATATTGGTGAAGTAGGTATTGCAGAAAAGATATCCAATCCCTCATTAGGACAATATTCTATTTAGTTCTATTGACTTATCCTTCAACGGTTTTAATAAGTTCTTCTTTAGCTAGAAGAGACATTTCTTAGATTTCGTACGTTTGTATAGAAGAATTAAACAGGTTAAGAAAGTCATGTCATGAATAAAAGCATTCAGGGGGATTTCAATATTAATTGAAGCATTCGACACCAGTTTCCCTTTAAATTAAGCAGATCACATTAGTCTTCAAAACTTACTTCTGCAACATCCCTTCTCTAACACGTAAAAAGATTTAATGATTTATAGATTAATGATGGTCAGCTTTACAAAAGTTAATATATTCATTTACATTTAAGGATTAATAACACAAAGCAAAAAAGAAAGATGATGCATGGATTGGTATATATATATTTTTTTTTTTTACAGATTTTCAAAAGAAATGACACAAATTAATTCCTAAAACATAAAGAAATTGTAAGTATTCTTTATTTTTTTAAAAAATGAGACTGTGTGCCATATGTATTAATCTATACAATTTTTTGCACATATTTCATTACAATATTACAAAATCGTACAAGATTTTTCAATTCAGTCTGACAAACATTATCCAAGTTATCTATATGAACATAAATCTATTAGACTTATTGCTGATTTCCGAAAAAAAGGGTGTGTGTGTCATTTATACTAAATTAAGTAATATATCAATGTGCTTCGTAAGATTACCGTGCCATAACCAATATATTTTTCCTCTTGATACCTAAGGTACATTGAAATCTAAATCATTATGACATCACAATCAAAACAACATTATTTTTAACAAGAGTAAAGACATAACAATAGATATTTATAATTTCATTTTTAGAAGATAAGACTTACCCCGTCGATAGAGTTGACCACCTGCCAGGAATTAGCAAAATGAACTGCACTGCTGGACAGAGTTCCGGAGGATGTTTTGAACTCATCTACGAGAAAGAGCATCATTCTTTTTTATCAAACTTTTAGCAGAAAGATGGGTAAAGCCAATTGATAAAAAACGAACACGCAGGATCTACACCTACTTTTTTGCTGCATTAATCAACTCACCGCTAGGATCACGGTTCAAATTCCCACAGAGACCTTGGAATTTGACGTCCCCCTGAACTTTGTCGCTGTGTATGGTGAGGGCCACGGTCGACTCACTGTCCACTTTTAAGCTGACACCTTTGGCAGAATCCACAAATATCCACCCACTCATGTTACGTACAGTAAATGCTGAAAGAAACCACAGAGGGACAAAGAACAATGTAAACGAAGATATGGCCTCAATGTATCCAAAGTATACTTATATATCAGCAGATTTAGTGATTATTGTTTAATTTTTTATATTGGAGGGATCTCAATTCCATGTATCAGTAAATTCAAGTAAGTGGACAAGAAAAAATAACACATTTATATCCAAACATTCGTTAAAATGTCCCGGAATTACATTATCACCTCTATACATATATAGATATATGTGATATGGTAATCAAAAATATTTTTGGTGATCAATTTTATTTTTAGGTAAATTATGAAATTGTTATAATTGTAAAAAACAATCATTTATATTAAATAATTACATAGTACCCCACTACTTCCTATATTGATGAATTTCTGCTTTTGTTATATAAGCTGTTATTTTTAGTATGAGTAGTATGTTGAATTCAGGCATTACCATCCTGGATCACACTATCCTATATAGAAACTATCGAACAACCAGGTAGAACGAATTTAATAATTACCATTCTAACCTAATATCCACTGATAATATTATGCAATGTGTAACAAAACTAGAATACTTTTCTTCCATTATTTATATATGTATTATTTCTTATAATTCGTAAATGAATTTAATCTAATTGAAATCATAATTTACATCATTAGCTAACAACAGCACTATACATTATACATGTTTATATCATTTTGGATGGTGACATTACCCTCTGATGATACATGCTAATATCATATCATGGTTATTATCATTATCCATAATATCTTATATACATATATCATAAGTGGATAATATCACTATCCATAATGATATATTATATACATGTATCATTAGTGGGTAAAATTACTGTCCATAATGGTATGATATACACATCTATCATTAGTGGACGATGCAGTGTAGGTAAAACTGGTTGTGGATTCAATATTATCATTAATGTGTACAAATGATTCCACTAAAACTACAAACCTGAAATCATAGTGGAATTTACTTTATAAAAGAGTCTAGCTATTATGTATAATTATATTTTTGACACCATTCCCTTATTGGGTAATATTTATACACACTGTTATCTGGTGTAGATTTCGGTGTCTCCCCTGTCAGAATGAAGTCCACATCATTCACCTTCACCTGTCCTGCCTCGACAGAAATAGTCTCTCCGCTTCCAAGGAATATGGTTACTTTCTAAAACCCAATGCAAAAAGGGTGATCTTCAGAGCAGGTATTTATTCTTTTTGACTTTTTAAGCAAGTTTTTAGCATTGTCTCAGCTTAAGGACATACGCAAGGTACCTTACCTACCGATAATTTTTCAAGATATTCTCAATTTAAGATTATAGTGCCATCAGATGTTCTTAGACAAAAAAATCAGCATGCATTACCAGGGTTTTTGAAAATATATCAATTGATAAAAATTCTTGTATAATTCAACGAAAGATATTCAAAAATTTCTTTACATATATTCTAGATGTTTTGTTTATCCAAACTTTTTTAGAAGAAGTGTACAACAGCATATATAGACATTAAAATATAGCCCACAGTTCCTTTAAGTATTGGAACTCTTCAACTCCAAGGAAAAAGACAATAAAGTTCAAAGTGTGTTGCATATGTCCTTAACTTGTGAGTTCTTTCCTAAATGCTGCTTATTGAGTAAGTCGTACCTTTGTACATTCGCTTATTCTTGCACAGTTCTTCGGTGTCACCTCGACATTCCAGCCCTTGTCTGCGTCTTTAAGCATAGTGTACGTACACATTCCTCCGAACTCATACTCCAGTCCATCAAATGTTCGGTAATAGCTTGGTCCAAAGTTCAGACACGTTTGGAACGGAAGTTCATTGGTCTGTACTATAACCGAAGTATCCGCTACAATTTAATAAAATAACAAAGGTTATACCCGAAATAATCAAATCTCAAAGAAGCCCTTTAAGGCAACACTAAATTAAGAAAAGTACCACATAGAACTTAGAGCAATGCTTATTTATATTATCCATAATGTTTCTACTGAAACAACTAACTTGTAGTGTTTGCGACTGCGCACTTGCTGCAGTCGTTTGAGCCAACACCCCATCCTCTGCCACCATTAGTGCAGCAGTCGGCCTCTGTTACTATCTGGTTATAATATTTCTCCACTTTAGCTTTGGAGCATAGGGAGTCTGTGTAACAAAACTTGTTGGTGCTCGAAGCATCTGGAAATCGAAAAGATGATTGATTTTTTTTTTTTACTTCAATGGTCAATTACTATTTTCCCAAGCAGACCCCAAAAACCAAAAACAGTAATAAAAACCTCTTTCTTGAAATATGTATATTTCGTTTAGGAATCACTGTTTTCTGGGACCTTAATTGATGTGGATATCAAAATAAGGTTGAGAAGTCTGTTCATTTTCCTTTTTTTTTTCTTTAGGGGTCATGAATATTTTTCACAAGTTAAATTTGACAAATGACAAACATCAAACACAGTCACAATATTGTCAAGTGTCATTGTGAGCACGCACCTGATATTTTATCCTCACACCGGTATCCTGTATATTCGGGGGGACAAGTACAAACATCAGTTGGACTCGTACATTGTCCACCATTTTGACAACTCGGGGTACAGTGCGCTGAAAATAAATGCAGGAATATTGATTTTAAGATACCTTTCAGTAGTATTTTTCGAGTTCTGTTTAAATCAAATGCATTTTTTATTTAAGCATGCTAATTTTTCGAAACATTAAACTTCCCTTATAAATAGCCTGGGGAATAACTGGATTTGTATGATATGCTTTTTAAAATAAATTTTAAACTTTAACTTAATATTGGATTAACATGAAGTAAAAATTAACTTTTCATCATATATGTAAATGGAGCTGTTTTCAAGGGGTTTTTTTTTTATAATCGTTTAATATGCTATGCTAACGATATATCATTGGTTCTTATTCCTCGGTGTCCACTTACCAATGTCACATAACAGAGTGCCTTCTTGTGAGCTGATCCACCCATTACAGCAGCCCTGGGAAGTCGCATGTGTGACCCTAAAAATAGATTCAATCACTCTGAATACTACTAGAATCTAAACTTTTTCGGACTGTGTTGACATGAAGAATGATTATGTTGCCCTGTGTCATTTTTTAACAAACAGCATAAATAATGGCATTTAACTTTGAAAAGCAGATCTTATTGTTTTCACAAGAGACATTTTGCTGAGTACCTCTTGGTGTCAAAAGGGACAGAAATGTCACTATACAATTATTGTTCAAAATATGCAAAAGATGTTATTTGGTGAAATATACAACATATCAATGTCAGCAGGCAAACAGTTACAGGATACGTCCTGTACGACAAAGAATTGTCATGTATGAAGAATCTTTTATTTGATTGAGTTGTACCCTTTTCATGAGATATGTCACTTTTAATATTGTTTCAAACATTAAACTATCATCGATTTGTTTCACTCTCTGTTTCTATAACAACAACATCGTTTTAAACCACGGTCGGTAGTCCGCGTATATATTTCTCTCCTACCCGTGGCTACTGATCAATACATGAAACCTAAAACTGCGACTGGGAATTGAAAGGTTGCCTCAAAGGTCAGATTCCAACTATGCTTTACCCGCATTGGTCAATATTTTAATGAGCTACGAAATATTCTCTTCTCATTCAACCATGACCGAAAGGGAGAGGATCAGACATTTTGGCCTTGGCTTGAGTCGATGAAATATGACGATAACGAACAGTATTCAATCTCGAAAGTGCAATGAAACGATACAAATTTGGAGCAGAGCAAATACGGACCTCAAATTTTAGAGGTGGGGTCAGGTGCCATGGAGGAGTGAGCATCCCCTGCCGACCGGTCACACCCGCTGTGTGCTCCTTGTCATAATCGGGAAAAAACCCCGGAAAAATCCGTAGACAGTTCAGTGTAACAACGGATACATATGAGGCTCGTAAGATATTTCTGTTTTCAAATGTTTTTGTGATGCTTTTGTTTATTAAAAACAGAAAGGACGAAGTCCAGTAATATCTGATACTTAAGTTGTAAAGTACTTTGTAGAGACGCCTTTTTGTACAAATAACAGCGTCCTAAATATTTATAGGAATTACATTGAAATATTGCCAAAGATGGTTGACATGAGAACATAGATATATATATACGTCATGAACTTAAAAAATTGTGTAGAGGGCTTTTCTAAGAAAGCATCATTTAATAAAATTATGAGTGCAAGATAGTTTCCGGCATATATAAAACTTCATGTGGCTATTTCCTCATCACTTATTTTTGTATCCGTCTGTCCAAAATTATAACAAAGAATGACACATCAGCAAAACTTTTCATCATTTTTTAATTTAGAAGTACATATATTCGAATTGCAGAGACTGGGATTTGTATCCCAAATTTCATGCTTGCGTTTTAATGTCGTTTGTTCGGTGTTATGTGTATCTTTGAAATGTACTCAGTATCTAATACATGAATCTTACTTGAAGAAGAAGCAGTCTAAGTCACCAGGGTTTCTGACGATATCGTTGATTTGTTTGGGTGTTTTTCCTGGAAAGGACTTGGTCTGGTTTAACGTCCATCCCGTTACCACCTTGTCTATGAATTTGGCACATTTTTCCTCTGATTCTTGACTTATCGTCCGTGTAAAATTACATACATGACTGAGGCTAAAAGTAGAGAAAAAACATTTATTTAAAAGCAAAGCAAAAACCAATGAATCTTATTTCTACAAATTTGTTTATTATTTTCATATTTTATTGGTCGACTGTGAACCTCCAAATGTTTAGTTAACTTTTGTTATGTGAACTTCAATTATATACGCAGGTTTGAAATTGTTGTTTGTTATTTTATTTCTTAATTTTATTTAGTTTCTTTTTTTTCGGATAACAGAGCTCTCTTACATTGTTATTACTCTTACTAAAATTTCATGTCACTGACAAACAACTTAACCAGCGCTCTTCGAAATCATTATAATATAGAAAGTATACACGGGGATGTGTTTTCGCCATGTTTGAGATCAACTTTTCTATCGCAAATTTTGGACTTATGATAGGAAGTTATATGAATAACCATATACCATATGAGTAACTTCCCTCTTAAACTTTTACATATCATGCTCGTGCTGAACGCCAGGTTGAAACTTGCGTTTTTGATGCTGTAAATTTTACCCCTTTAGAAGTAAAAAAAAAAAAGGTCTCGAAAGATGAGGAGTTCGAGAAATCAAGAGTAAATTTGCTTAGTTATATAGGGGAAAAATTCGGGACCGGAGACTCACTTCGAGCGATCAAGAACTTCGAGAGATCGAAGTTCGAACCATCAAGAGTTACCTGTATCTTTAAGCGAACAGTTTTAACGGTCCGTAGATAAGATATGTACAAACTATGAATCACCCAAGATTAATTTTAATTAAATAACTAAATTACGTTTAGATTTCATCAAACTTTTTTCCTTCCTTTTTTCAATCTTACATTGTACGGTACCTATTTATTAAGAATATTCTCTCTCTCTCTCTCTCTCTCTCTCTCTCTCTCTCTCTCTCTCTCTCTCTCTCTCTGAATAGCTGAAACTTACATATGATAAATTGACATAATGAAGTATCAGTATATATGATACTTTATTATAAGTTATCAATGACAACGCCGGTAACAGGCCTTAAGTTTTTGTTCTTTTTTAATGGATTCGTGTGTGTTTGAATGTAAGGTATGTAAATATTTTTTTTTGCATCAATCAAATGTCGATTTTAAAATAAAGAGGTACCAACTGAATTCATTGATTATCTTCTTACACATATTTGCAATAAAATGAAGGTGCTAATATCAGAGAGCAGACTTCAATTCATTATAGTACTTTCATTAGTCTTTTTAATGGAGTTTCTTCACATAGTGTAGCTCTATTTCTTTGCATCATTTTATTTTTCATTTAAAATTTATAAATAAATTAATATATATATATATATATATATATATATATATATATATATATATATATATATATATATATATATATATATATATATATATATATATATATATAAACCAAATGCATATAGTTATGTATGAACAGTTTAATTTTCTTTTTCCGTCTAGATTCCTTTTCTCTTATATATTTTTAAAAAGATTGATTTCTTCCACTGCTTTTTTGATCTTGCAATTATAATTTTACGTTTAGAAAATATTATCAAATTAAATATTTAAATATGAAATATAAATAAAGTTCCATTTTTGTGTTGTGGCTGATTAGGCTAACAACAGATTTTTTCCTACTGAGTTATCGGATATTCAACATGGGATTTCTCCTTCCAAGAAACTTGATCAAAAACTCCACATCATGAAAGTGTATCATTAAAATTTATATTTTTTTACATGTTCATAATCATTCTATAACTTTAAGCTTGCATGTATTTTCTTGTTGTCACGTTGTCAAAATGTCAAAATAATTTTTCCAGCATTTCTTAAACATTAAGAAAACATGTTTTGAAATAACTTTTGAATTATCAAAACTTGTCAGACTTGCATCCGCAAGGCAAACCCATCCAGTCATTAGAAAAATGTACAATTATGATAAACCTACATTTTGGTAAGGAACTGTTTAAAATGGATCACAGACATACTGTATGTGACAGTTCAAGAAAGTAATAATCAACGTCAATAGTATCTTCGTGTATCGCTCGGACAGTGGCATGCTTTACTCTATTGTCTTGTAATAACATGCCGCAAATTAGTACATTAGACGGGAAGTGGAAAATACTTCAGTTATTTGTAAAAATGTTTTTGATTTTTCACTAAAACATAGTAGTAGCTTCAGTTTTGAATGTAGACTTTGGGAATTTACAAATCTTACCTTTGAGCCGATGTTTGGGTCAGAATCCATAGTAACAGTCCGATATATATGGGTATAGACCCTCTTTCCATCGCCCTTGTGGGGCAAACTCACTTCAAACAGTTTTAGTTTTACAAAGACCACTTTGTAGTATCGTTTTTGTTGTAGCGTCTTTCGTTTAAAAAGAAATAAAAATCAGAAGAACACGCTTCAGTATGGAGGGACAACCTAGTCCTCTGAAGCAGAATCAAGGGAGACCAAGGTATATATACACCTACTCTTTACGTAAGCCGAGCATTGTTAAATCTATTTCAGGTACAAAAGATTGGACAAAACCTAAAACGCACAAAAACGGCATATCAATAGTTTAGTAAAGATTTTTCTTTATACTTACTTGACGCAGTGACAGCTTGGAGGGTCCTGATTCGTGAAGTCAGGGAGGGACGGGGGAATCAATGCCGAGATGGGACATAGGTCGATATCAACCTTTGTTAAACCTTTGTTTGATGTCCGTGTCCGGTGCGAAAAGCTGACAAGATCATCTACTAAGAACATGATTTCTTGCGTGTTTACTTCAATAGCTGGTTGTCCATTTTAGGTTGATATGTAAAATTATATAACAGACTGACGAATTCAAAGTTTGTTGTAACTAAAGCCAGTAATTCAAACGTATTGTATCGAAGTTAACAGCATTTTTCCAGTAGACTCATTCGAACTGTTTCGAATATTACTCCGCGTGGGTTTCCGAGATTTTCTGACATGTGAATTTTGACTTGAGACGCAGAAGACATTCTGTAAAACTATACCTAACTTTACTCTTCATTTAAAAACTATCATCTGTGATTATCATCTTTTTTTAAAAAAAGAATACGTTCATTACATGTAAACATCCAAGCGTCGTGTTTACTAATTAATGTCATGATTGGGAACCCCGTAACATAATATAGTAGTTTGTGTTTTTCTCCTTTTTGTATTTTGCAAGATATTTCAGCATTGAATTCTTATTAGCGCGGTTTGATAATTCGTTGGCACGGCCAGGTGTGTTAAAGGACCGAAGACATCCAAAAATAAGAATTCAATGCTTATATTTACATTCTCTAATTTTGCTTATTTCGTTAATCTTTAATATGAATTTAGCGCCTTTCAGAACTGGAGTGCTTAATAGACTTAAGAGCCGTTTGTGACGTTGGAAAGTTAAATAACGCAAATGAACATTGCGAGGAAAAAAGATGACAAATTAATTTCAAACGCACAGTTGCTGTAATTTTACGTTCATTGAACAGGGTAGTTGTTTTTTTTTAATTAAATTGAGTCAAAACAATATACATTTTGGTGTTCCTAGAGTATTGAAAATGCATATAGTTCCTACTGTGTATTCTACCGCGCGGTGACAAGGTTTTGTGTGTGTTATAGAGATTTGAACGTCGTGGATTTCAAATTATCTTCGATATTGGGGCATAAAAAAGATGGGTATATTTGTAATACACAGAAGTTGGCCAGTATGTAGGTAGAATTCCACTTCTAAATAAGTGTTAAATATTCTGACAAGATAGGACGAGATGGATTCCTAAAAAAATCAAACTCGAAGAGTGCGTGAATTTACGTTATGTGTAGCTACATACTGTACTGATCCCTTATAACTTGGTACACTCCAAGACAAATCTTCATGGTTGTGTGACTGAAGTATATGTCATTGTGTGCAAAATTATTAAACTATAATGGTCATTAAATTCTACATAATTAGTAAAGAAAGTCTCTCTCTCTCTCTCTGATTGTACTTTGACCTAAAATTGAATCAGAAATTCAAGACAGGGTTAAATTTCATTGACTACATTATAGGTGACAATTTAGGATTTACGCAGTGTCATGAGTACTTCAACCAAAAGGATATTCCATCCGATAAATGTAAAAATGAAAGTTTACTTGCCATCCTGACTTAGAGCTACAATTAATTACAGTCGTATGTCCTAACTTAGGATTTTTTTTATATAAATTTCGAATATACAGAGAAAGTTCTCTGTTGCTCACTTAGTGTGTCAACTTTCCCGTTCCTGTTATTGCCTGATGCATCCAAAACATTTACCGTTATCTGGTAAGTGTTTGTTTTCTGTATAATTCTTTGAATTCCCTGTTTTTCAGAAGTAATTCGACAAATCATCAGAAACCTGTTTGGAATCCTCACTCTATCCGAAAACAATTCATCACTCAGGTTCAGAAGACCCATAAGTTCGTATCTAACATTCAATTAAAATGGCACGACTGTTTTCATAGATGAGGAAATTTTGAATTATACTGATTATGTTTGAAAACCCTCACCTGACTGTTGCATACAGGTAATTATACCCCTGAGGCCGTATCTATAAAGCCTCGGCCCGTAAAGATTGTGCCAATCATTATTAAATCATCATTGCCATGATTAAAAAACAAGTAATTATTGGTGAACTATTCCCGAGTACCCTGAGATCTGGAGTCGAATGAAAAGAGGGACCACATCGAGTGACAAGGAAAAAGTGTAATAATTTACTTAGAACATGTTTTACACGAGATTTTATACGAGAAGTATATTTTATCACAGTTTCGGTGAAAGAATCCTGCAATTTAGGTAAATTTATCTACCTTTGGCTTAAAAACTAGAGAAAATATGTCAAATTTAGTTTTTATTGTACATATCATATGTACTATATTCTCCTGTAAACCTACTTGTTCATGTATATTAGTATTTACTTGGACTGATGAACTGTAAATCTCGAAGTAAATAATGAACTGAACAGTATGCTTCTTATTATTTTAATCAACATGATGGTTTAATCCGACTGGTCCAATTTTGTACAGGCTTATGCATGATAATTATACACTTAAGGGTATATTTATCTGTCTGTAACAAATCAGTTTACCGTCCAGTGCGTAGTCAAAGTATTTTCCTCAATGAAGATAGTCAAGTCTTTTTTGATGGATTTAAGTCAGGGACTTTCGAGTCTTTTTGGACATTTTTCCCCGCGGTAGGCAAAGGTTTATTGTTTCCTGATGTTATTTCCCAAACTACTCCAGAAAAGCAAAGAATTCCCCACAAAACACACTACAATGACACAGCGTAAAATCTAAAATAGTCAATCAATTATCAATTAATCTGGGTCACGTTTTACAAAAGAACTTACGACTAAGATCAAAACTTTAGCTGGCTGTAAAATCTTTTCAGATTAATTATGAAAAATTGATATTCTAATTATATTTTTCAAAATTCTTTTAGAAAAGATTAATACCATTTTTAAATTATTGTAAAGAAGATAGTTATTGGTGATATTATATTTTGGTCTTAGTCGTAAGTTCTTTCGTAAAACGGCTCCCTGTTTCAAATTTGGTCAAAGAAGACTAATAAGTCAGAGAGAGACGGACAAAAGAGATAGATTCCATTTTAACATATTCTGTAGATTTCAACGACTGTTTAACACCTCATTCATTGTGTACTGAGCTTGGTGCTTTTTGATTATGACTTACATTTGATCATGATTATAACCTATCCTTGATAATAATATTGTTTTGATAATTATCCACAAAATGACATATTAATCCAACCATAAAAACTTGTGTATGGAGTGTAATAAGTTATTGGTACATGTATCAGCAAAAGCCCTTTGTTCGAGGTACGAAACGTACTAAGAAATAAACTGTAATTGTAATGATATTGAAGCACAAGGAGTTTATTAGTCCCCTACCGGTGAAACCGGAGGGGACTATAGGTTTCCTCTGAGTCTGTCCGTCCGTCTGTCCGTCCGTCTGTCCGTCTGTCCGTCTGTCTGTCTGTCTGTCAGTCTGTCCCACTTGGTTTTCCGCACTTTTTTCCTAAACGCTTGCAGATATTGAGCTGATTTTTGGTAGGTGAGTGTATCTTGATGAGTTACAGATCAAGTTTGCATTTCGTTCCGCTTCATTGATTTTTGACGGAATTACGGCCTTTTCAACTTTTAGGGGTTTTCCGCAATTTTCTTCTAAACGCTTGTAGATATTGAGCTGATTTTTGGTATGTGGCTTTACCTTGATTAGTTATAGATCAAGTTTGCATTTCGTCCCGCTTCATTAATTTTTGACGGAATTATGGCATTTTCAATTCTTAACGGGAACGGAACCAGATTACACTTGCCGGTAGGGGATTAGTATTGCTAACGCAATACTCTCAGAATGCTTGTTTTCTTATGTGAAAAATGTACCAAGAATTTAAACTGTTCCTCAGTTCATCCCTTGCTTCACTCGGTACTAAATCTTATGGTACTGAGAGAAAAAAGTTCACCAACATATTTACTGTACAAACTTTACTTTACCATCTTTATTAGTCCCCTACCGGTGAAACCGGAGGGGACTATAGGTTTCCTCTGAGTCTGTCCGTCTGTCTGTCCGTCCGTCTGTCTGTCTGTCAGTCTGTCCCACTTGGTTTTCCGCACTTTTTTCCTAAAAGCTTGCAGATATTGAGCTGATTTTTGGTATGTTAGTGTATCTTGATGAGTTACAGATCAAGTTTGCATTTCGTTCCGCTTCATTGATTTTTGACGGAATTACGGCCTTTTCAATTTTTAGGGGTTGTCCGCAATTTTCTTCTAAACGCTTTCAGATGTTGAGCTGATTTTTGGTATGTGACTTTACCTTGATTAGTTATAGATCATGTTTGCATTTCGCCCCGCTTCATTGATTTTTGACGGAATTATGGTATTTTCAATTCTTAACGGGAAACACTTGCCGGTAGAGGACTAGTATTGCTAATGCAATACTTTCAGAACGCTTGTTTATCGATGACGTAACATGCGTGTAAACATGACCCGCGAAGCTAATAGATTGAGTAATATATGTATGTTGACTAATGAACACACCAAATAGTGTCTGTTCCAATAGAAATAAAAAAAAATCCTGATATTTTACACATCTTTATTCAAACGAAGTACATCGATTTAACAATATTACAATTGACAATGCACATTAATGATAATACACATCTTTGTAACTTAAAATAAATTTACTGAGTACACAGGTACATAATTACTAATATATTATAACAAACGAGAGGCATAGATAAAGACTATAATATTTCTTATATAGGAAGTCATAATAAGTACAATAAAATATTTATTCATTATTATGTGAATATGACAAACTGCGATCACGTGTCAGAATTTTAGAAATTCGGGTCATTGGTCACATGTAAAGAATCAGGGATCATTGGTCACATGTAACATGCTGTGTAAAGAATCAGGAAATTCTAACCAGTTGAAAAATAAATGAGATTCCTTTACTTAAACTTTCAGGGTTACTTTTGTATGTTCGAATATAGTGAAGAATTTATTATAGAAGTAATTAGATATTATTTTACATACATTAATAATAAAGCATTCTTTCTCTTGTTCAACATACTGATTATACATGTAGCTGAAAATATCAGCAAATTCCATGCGCGGATATACAGGGGGTCATGGGGTCCGGAACCCCCCCCCCCGGGAATTTGCAGTTATTCAAAGTTTATACTAAAGTAAATAAAAATAACTTTGGACCCCCCTAAAAACCGTGGATCCCACCATCACCACCACGAAATAGTCGTTTTTCACGTTTGAGAAATGGATTTGACTTTTTTTTCAAGAAATTTTCTGGGTTTAACAAGTTTGGGAAGGGAATTTAGTTTTTTTTGTTTTGTTTTGTTTGTTTATTTGTTTAGGTTTTTTTTTGCTTGTTTGTTTGTTTTGTTTTGTTTTGTTTTTTTTGTTTTTGTTTTTGTTTGTTTGTTTGTTTTTTTTTTTTTGCTCGTCAAGAAATTTTCGGGTTAGAACTTTTTTTGTGACAGGGGTGTACCCCCACCCCCCTGGGAAAAAATTCCTGGATCAGCGCCAGAATTCAAAAATGTGAATTTCAATATTCTTTTATGAATTATGAAAGAAAATTGGAGAACCATGCGAATTCTGTTCATTTATTTTTCATCAATTCGTTGTTGTTTTTTTATCTTTAAAAGGAATAAAGCATCGATAAAATGAATATTAATTCCAAATACATTTTCATATTGTTGAAAGTCTCTTGATCAAAGACAAAACAATAATTAATGTACCACTGGGGAGTCCTTCCTCGGGGAAATGCACAATATATTTAGTAACCCTCCTAAGGGGAAGTCCTCTTATACATGTATAGCAACAATGCCGGGGGTGGCAGTATATGGGAAAGATCATACACCTAGGACACCAGATGCGATAAAATCTTGTCCTTAACGAGTATATATATCAAATCTTTTAACGAGTATACATATTAAATCTTTTAACGAGTATACATATTAAATTTTTTAAGGCATCTACAAATATCTTTGTTTTTTGTCTGATTTTTCTTTGCCCCGGAAAACAGATAACCTTGCATTATACAGATGTATTAGCAAAACTGGTCAATGTACTTTGAATGGAACGATTGTTATATCTTTTTTGTCTTGTAGTTTTTTAAAAATAGAGTTTAAGCGTATAATGTAATGTTCCGATATAAAAAGAAATTTATCCATTGTTGAAATGTTGTGTATCTGTTAAGATTTTATCCATTATTTTAATTGAAAAAAAAAATATACATTACTCGAATAGAATAGAAGGAGTATATAATCCGATATATGTGAAGGTATCCGATATATGTGAAGGTATACATTATGGATATACGGATAATTTATGTCGGCATTATGTGTAATGCATTGGTTATTTCGTTCCTAAATCTCATGCCATTGTACTTGTAGTGCTTTAATAAAATCATAACTGGAAACGTTTTACTTTTTGGTGCTCGCTTAACGAGCTGTTTGGCATGTGACTTTAAAAATAAAATTCACATGATTAAATTACCTTCTATTTAAATCCCTGAGTCCAGAAGTACACGTGTAAACATAAATACATTTTGTAAACTACAACTGTTTAATCACGGTAAGTAACAAGCTGTGTATAACATGTGTAGCAGAAATATACACGTTACGATCAAATGGAAACACAGATCTCAGGAGTTAACATCTATTTACACCTGTAAAAATCACTGGCGCATACACCTGTCGTGTGATTCGGCTTGGTCACATGACAAGTGGATGTTTGACCTTCAAGAATTCCCGGAGGCGGATCTAAACGCACAAAAATAAATATTATCATGAGATCATATGACATAAGAACGTTTTACTGCAACAATGAATTGAATTAAATTGTAAAAACAAATACAAAATGTTTTGTACTATAGACCAACTTTGTCCATGTATAATTCAATTGTTTGTTTTTTTTTTCTCGGATACTACATCTGATTTAATTTATGATTTAGTTTTAGTTCATTAAATTATAAACATTATTCTTAATATTAAAACGACTATATCTTGATCTTGACCTTACATCAGACATGGAGTACAGTAATTTAAATTGTTTAATTTACATATCCCTGTCCTCCACTTTTCTGTAATATCAATTATTGTTGTTTTAACAAGGGGGAGGGTAGTCATAAGGACAAAATCTCGTGTTTGATTCGTGGTTCTATTTCAAAGTAATTATGATAAGGTTAAATGAAGAATGACATATGACTTATAGACAGAAAATACGTACGAAATGGCGAGTCTTTCAAGGTCGTCATGTGATCTTGGGACTAAAAACATTACATAGGCCTTGGTTGGGGCGCCGTTTTCTTACTTTTATTAAACCTGGGCAGTTTCTCGGGATAATAATTTTCACTACTGAAGATGGAACAAAAAATTATCCGGGTAGGGTCCAGGAAGAGTCAGGTAGGCCTAAAGATTATACTGCAAAAATTATAGTCGATCACATCTATATTAACTAAAAATGTTGGAAACTAAACTAACGTTAGTATTTAATTTAAAAATCATATCTTAAATGACATGACATGAATATCTAATTTATTTTCATGATTTAGAAAGTTCGGTTTTCTTTGTTATGTAGACAATGTGCATCACTCATAATACCTGTACTTGTGAAAATAATGAAAGCTCTCTCTCTCTCTCTCTCTCTGTGTGTGTGTGTGTGTGTGTGTAAAGATTAGCGAGGGAGAGTGTGTGTTTAAATCCAGGAATTTATAACCAATACACTGTTTACTCCTTTTTATGATACAGAAAATATATCAGAATTATGGTTTTATCATATTTTTTTAATGATATATTTTTTTAGCTAGATAGTTTATTGTGGCAGCACGATGACAACAAATACAAAAATGTGTTTCCTCTTCATTAACAAAAGCCACCAGTTAAAAATAAGCTCCGTAAATGCAATAAATACTTGTTTTGAATATTTTAAATTTGTTTTTATTTATCAAATCACTTAAAATACTTTTAAATTACATTATTTTGACCAAACAGAGAAAGACGAAGACATTCCATGTTGTCATTCTATTAATTACTCGTGTTCCAGATTAAAGGAATTTTCCCAATGTGACATCATGTTTATTCCCCAAACCACTTTAGCGATGATTTTCATGATGTTTATTTTATCTAGACTGCTTGTAAATAGGACACACACCCCTACACACACACAAATACACGTACACATATAGTTTTGACATAATATTTGATATAGATTGCTGGTATTTATAGGAATCCAACCCACCAGCCCAGCTGTGATTTTTGGAAGGATTTCTTGTGTTTTGTAACTCATCCTCTTTTCAGAATTTTGTTCATTTCGATGAGAATTGGGGGTGGGGTGGGGGTGGACATGCTATTTCCCTTTTATGTGCAAAAACTAATCAACATAATTGATATGCACTAATTGATCAGTTTTTGTTTGTAGTTGGCGATGATTCAGACCAATACTGTTATAGAGAGCCTGTCTGCGGCGCACCCCGGGGTCTCCTTTCAAGTTGGTAAGGGTGTTTGTGGACTTTATCCTGGAGAAGCAAAAATTGAGCAAAACATAAAAAAGCATTTTTTTTTCAAAAATACCGAAAATAATGATTAATTCATTGATTTAAGTCTGCATATATCAGTTTCTCTTATTAAAAAAAAAATTTTTAAAATCATGATAATTTCTCAAGCGAACGAAAAATGAAGGGGCTTGTTCAGATGTTTATTACAAGAATATTTACTAATGTTGAAATCAAAACAGAGACCATTCTCTCGTAATAAAATTAAGGTCACTTTCCCATGCATAGAAGACATGCTTAGAAAGGAATATTAAAGTAAGATGACTGATTTGAGAAAAACAAATCAAAAACATTAAAGAAAAGGGAAAAGAACAATCCAAAAGACATGGGTTTTTGTAATCTGAAAAACCTGAGAGAATTGGGCCAAAAGCTGGTCATAACTCTTTACGATTGTCTATAAATTTCATTGATCAAAAATTGAGAGAAAGCAATGAATCAGCAAGTTTTCTGAATTAATTCATTTCTGTAGATTTTCAATAAAATTTTTAATTGGATTTGTCTTTTGATTTTAAACCAAGTTTGCCTATTAACATTTTTATAAATGTTGAGGTGCGCCTGTAATAGCACATAAATTTACATGCAGATTTTGCAGTGAAAGCTGTTCTTTTTCCTTTGTGAAGTATGCAGTATGGTTAATATTCTTCAAAATTCATTTTGTATTGGATACATTGTACAAACTTAAACCAGAAAGAGTGGGGTAAAACTTTCAGGGTCCAGTAGACCAAGAGTGTTATTGAGAATGAAATGCACTAACTTTTTTTCAATGTCACTTCATTGATAAGAATAATTATTAACATTCCTTTACTCGCCTTTCAAACTAAGAAGGCTAACTATGTAATATAGGAATAAAAAATTATTGAACATCATTAAGGACCAAAAAAGTATCCTAATATTGGTTATATTTTAATATATAGGTAACACAATTTTATCCTTGAAAATGTAAAAAAAAAAAAAAAAAAAGGTTTATATAGTTGAGTTAAAAATAGAATTGCAGCACGTGAGAGTGATCTAAAATAAACTGTATAGGAATTTATTCGCATTTCATTTTGAACCTATCTCTTTAACATTTGTAAAAATCATACATTGGTTAGAATATTTTAGTAGACACATTAACTTTTCACATGCACAACAATTTTTTATCAGTAAATGAAAACTTTGCAGTGATTTAGATTCATTAATTTCTTTACACTCCCAATGAAAATAATAATAATAAAATTAAAATAGAAATAAAGAAAACAAAACAAAGGGAAAAAAATAGCCTTACTAAGGTAAGTGTTTTTGGTTCAGACTTACAATAAATGCTCTTAAAAACGCTTAAACTGATTTTATTTTGTAATGAGCTAGTTGGCGTCCCTTGTGACAATGTGAGAGCTGTAGAAAGAAAGAAAATCGACAACGTATCTTGTTCTCTCTCTCTCTTTAAAATTATTTAGCCCAAGATTTATGATAATATATGTAAATCATGTCATAAAACATGTACTTATACTGAATAAACATACATGCACTTAGCGTTGATATCAAAATTTACATGTAGTTGATAACATTTATTTCAGTTTCTATGGAAACTATCGGAGACAAGATCCAGGATGTTGCTTTACCTAAGGTAACTTTGACTAAACACGTCATTAAAATCGCTACGTTATATACTAGTATTACAAATATTCAACATTCAGATGCTCATTAACCAAATGATTGTAAATGATTTTATCGTCAGATTGGCATCTCTGGGGTGTTCACCAAGGAGCTAGACGCAGCCCTTCTCTTAAATCACGTGGATATCGTCGTCCACTCCATGAAGGACTGCCCGGCTCTGCTTCCTGATAACCTGGTTATAGGATCCATAATCAAGTAAACAAAAAGTCTTCTACATAGATTTAAATGTACCAATTTCTGAATGTGCATAAGGAGGCAGTTCTATTGTAAAATATTCATTGAAATTTTTCAATACCATTTCTACTTTGATGAAGTTACTGGCATATTAAGATTTTTTTCAGGAGAGACAGTCCTTATGACGTTGTGGTGATGAGCCTTAAAAACAAGGGGAAAACTCTAGCCGAACTCCCAGAGGGCAGGTAAAGTAACATGACATAAACTCTAGCCGAACTCCCAGAGGGCAAGTAAAGTAACATGACATAAACTCTAGCAGAACTCCCAGAGGGCAGGTAAAGTAACATGACATAAACTCTAGTAGAACTCCCAGAGGGCAGGTAAAGTAACATGACATAAACTCTAGCCGAACTCCCAGAGAGCAGGTAAAGTAACAGACACAAACTATAGAAGAACTTCCAGAGGGCAGGTAAAGTAACATGACAAGCTCTAGCCGAACTCCCAGAGGGCAGGTAAAGTAACATGACAAACTCTAGCCAAACTCCCGGAGGGCAAGTAAAGTAACATGACAAACTCTAGCCGAACTCCCAGAGGGCAGGTAAAGTAACATGACATAAACTCTAGTAGAACTTCCAGAGGGCAGGTAAAGTAACATGACAAACTCTAGCCGAACTCCCAGAGGGCAGGTAAAGTAATATGACATAACTCTAGTAGAACTCCCAGAGGGCAGGTAAAGTAACATGACATAACTCTAGTAGAACTCCCAGAGGGCAGGTAAAGTAACATGACAAACTCTAGTCGAACTCCCAGAGGGCAGGTAAAGTAACAGACACAAACTATAGAAGAACTCCCAGAGGGCAGGTAAACTAACATGACAAACTCTAGCCGAACTCCCAGAGGGCAGGTAAAGTAACATGACAAACTCTAGCCGAACTCCCGAAGGGCAAGTAAAGTAACATGACAAACTCTAGCCGAACTCCCAGAGGGCAGGTAAAGTAACATGACATAAACTCTAGTAGAACTTCCAAAGGGTAGGTAAAGTAACATGACATAAACTCTAGTAGAACTTCCAAAGGGCAGGTAAAGTAACATGACATAAACTCTAGTAGAACTTCCAAAGGGCAGGTAAAGTAACATGACATAAACTCTAGTAGAACTCCCAGAGGGCAGGTTAAAAAAAACATGTCATAAACTCTGGCCGAACTCTCAGAGGGCAGGTAAAAAAAACGTCATAAACTCTAGCCGAACTCCCAGAGGGCAGGTAAAAAACATGTCATAAACTCTAGCCGAACTCTCAGAGGGCAGGTAAAATTTTGATAAATGACTATTACGTGAAAAGCTTTACAAGAATTATTCCATTCTTTCTCTTTTCCAGTGTGGTGGGGACGAGCTCTCTGCGACGTGTTGCACAAGTCTCACGAATACATCCTCATCTAAAGTTTGAGAGCATTGTAAGTGCCAGATATATTGTATGTCTTCTCTTCTCCAAGGGGCGGGTTTAAAAAATACTAGTAATTGATTTAAAGAAAAATAATTAATAATGATGCTTAAACATGTTTTAATATAGTTTAAACAGGCACAGTCCTTTAATTTTAAAGTTATATATTGGGGGGGGGGGGATATGTGGTTTAGTTTGAATATGGTCAAACACATTTCTTTGTATTGTATACCTAAATCTTTGCACGGAACCCCTAACCATGTTATTTTTAAAATTCAAAAGTATACCGTAATTCTAGTTTTATATAATTAAAACTACTTGTTTAAATGTGTATTTATTTGCTATTCTTTGTTAATAAGAGAGGGAGTTTGAACTCTCGCCTTGAGAAGCTTGATGAAGGAGATAAATATGCTGCACTGATCCTAGCTGAGGCCGGACTCTCCAGAATGGGGTGGGAGAACAGACTGTCTGAGGTAAAAGATTGCCCTACTGGAGTAACAAATATTAATGTTGTATGTTAATCTGTGAAATATGTTGTTACTTTTCAAATAATTTATCTTCGGCAGTTGCATCTTGTGTCGGATTAAAAAAAGTAACAAGATTTTTTTCCTGAGACAGCTCTCCCATTTAACAATATGACTTAAAAGCAATTTTCTAGAATATTCATGTTTGTAAATAATCACGCTCACTTTGATAATTACAAATACTAATCAGGCCCGTAGAACGCCCCTTTTTCTGTTGTATAGTATTTTGCTATATTGAATTTTCATTCAGATGCTGTTTACCTCCACCCCCACCCCATCCCCAACACACACTTTTTGTTGCTGTAAGGTCGAGCACATTATCTAACAAAATTCCAGAATTTTGGCAGTTACGGATTATGTTAGGAAGTCGTCCCCCACCCCATTTTTTGGACAATTTATATTTTTTTTTTAGCTTGTCAGATTTTGGGAGGTTGAAACCCTCCCAACCCCCACCCCCACGTTTCAAACCGTTGCTATGGGCCTGCTAATAGAAACTTATCATAAGTTACATGTATATATATATATATTAATCTGTAGAGACTGGCAGATAGTGGATGCTTGTATGCAGTAAGCCAAGGAGCCATTGGGGTAGAATGCCGAGCAGACGACAAAGTAACGTTGTCTTTGCTGGACTCCATCGCTGATAGAGAGACAACACTGCAGTGTGTCGCAGAAAGGTCCTTTATTAGGAACTTGGTACATGTCTTTCTGATTGCTTAAAGTTGACTTTCTGACATTATTTATTTCGTATTTGTTCGAGATAAAATTAATTCTGATCAGAAATGTTTATTTGTTTTAGGGCGTAGGCTACAAGGCACCCGTGTGCGTTCACTGTGAAATCACACGTGATGAGGTATGGTTTGGTGATAGCACCATTTTTTTTTTCATTTAATGGAAGTACATAAGAATGAAAATTCTAGGATTATACATAACTCATTTTGACGATAAAAAAATCATTCTGAGAAAACACAAAATGGACTTTTCAGCATAATCTACGAACAACCTAAATATTGTAAACCAGCATTTCTTTATAAAGGACGAATCGGAATTTCGAAGTTTTTTATTAATAAAAAATACAAATTATATTGAATATCTCAATCATGCTTGCAATACAACAAATCCTTCTGGACTAGACATTGTTTTATGTCTTTGAGCTATATATTCAACAGAAATGATAAGAAGCCAATATTATTATTTACAATCGGTAGGTACACACTTATTTACAATTAGTAGGTACACTTTTATTTACAATCGGTAGATACATTTACGTGGTGCGGTTTACAGTCTGGACGGACATGAAACACAGGTACTGGACACAAGAGCTCTTCTCCACCCGGACGGACAGAGAACTGCGGTATGTCTTTATATAAACTATTCAACATTGTCAGAAACTACAAATAAATTATATTTCAGGTCATTGAAAACATTTCAGCAGACTTTTTAAAATTATATCTGACTTTACAAAGATTTTTGTTGTTGAAAATATGTTTCAATCCCCTAAATCCTGTAAATAGTGATCAATGTTATAAATCCTGTAAACAGTGATCATTCTCCTATTCCTGTATACAGTGATCGATCTCTCCTAAATCCTTTAAACAGTGATCAATCTCCTAAATCCTGTAAACAGTGATTAAGCTCCTAAATCCTGTAAACAGTGGTCGATCTCTCCTAAACCCTGTAAACTGTGATCAATCTTATAAATCCTGTAAACAAGATACGAATCTCGGAACAGGGAAAAGTTGTTGCTTGTTTCTATGGTAAAGATTTCTGAAATTTAATAAGAAATATTGACCTTTACAACAATTTTTTAAATAATTATAAACATGAGACAATAATTTGATGTGTTATATTTCTTATATAACTTTTTAAGTAATTTAAATAATAAAATTGCCATCATTTTTGACAATTTCTTTATTTTCGAATAGCTTTAATCGTTTTTTTTTTTTTTTATTTTTTAGAGGTGATAATGGGGGGGGGGGGGGAGTGTTATACAAGATTACTATATAATGTTTCACAAACGTGAACTTTTCATTGTTCGGTATAGAGTGGTTTAGTGTTTTTGCTTTTTATCAAATTTATTGAAAATTAGTACATGTACATACAATTTTTTGAGCATTTTTTTTAATTTAATTCAGTAGCTGATATATCACTAAAAAAAATTCATTAGATTTTTTAATACTTTCATTTTCTTTAAAGAAAGGGGAGCAGATGCCCGCTAACAGTTCCTCCTTCATGTCGATAGCAGTGGGCAATACCGCCACGAGAGAGGAGATGTCTGTAGCTCAGCGTATAGGACTCAAACTGGCTGAAGAATTTCTAAAATCTAATGCCAAAGATGTATTGATGACCGCCAAAGTTTCCACCGAAAATTCTATACTGCAGGAGCGATCCCGGCGTGAGCTTGTGGCCTAGTCTCTCCGAGACTCGATTGTCCGTACGACTTGTGTGAACATCATTTACAATCTAAATGCGTGATATCAGATCTTATATTAAACTGTAATATATAACATATTTGTAAATCAAAATTTGCATGCATTATTATTAATAGTGTTTAAAGTTTTTTTGTGAAAATATATTGACTTTATCAAATATAGACTTGTATTATTAGTAAATAAATGTTGAAAATGTCCTTAGTTTTAAGTTATAATGCATGAATTAACATTTTTTTTCAGTTAAGGACAGATAGCTGATTATACAAAAATTATAAGAACCAGTAAATATTGCCACATGTAAATATGTGTATCGTCGGTACAGAAATTTATCTTGATTGAATAGCAAAGAAAGAAATTGAGAGAAAAAAAGAACATCTGGGATATCACTGATCAAATCGAATCGATCTGCGAATCTCGTCTGCAAATCACTAAATTTTTCACAATTTGTTTTAATTTCTCAGATATTAGGCCTTATAGTGTAAATGAAAATAAATATATGTGCATGTAACTAGACATGCCTAATATTAACATTTTCAACTCTGCAGTAATATATTAAACTCTGCAAAGAGAAATGCTACACTGAAGAACATTGAACGAAATGGCAGCGTAAACAAAGTGCGATAAACTTATAGTACAGACATCTGTAGTATCATTTTAAATGTTTTTCCAATGTTTGCACAAAAGTTTTAGTTAGATAAATGATACTTAATATTTGACGAATGAGAAAAATGCACGCAAATACTTTGCTGATAATCAATTACTGTAAATATTAGTTATAAATTTAACTCTGGCTCGACTTTTTGTGATGTTTATCCAATGACTAAAATTTTAAGCCAAAATCATGGCGTAGAGTTAATTAAACTCAAATTCGTGAGGAATAAGACGGTTTTTCTGTTTGAAAACATCAGATATAATCCTCGACGATTTTGGAATTTAACCAAAATCGAAATTTTGTAAAAAGAAAATCTAGAAGCAGCCTAGCCATCTGTCACATAAAATCTATTAAGTAAAGCATTATATGGCGTGTTTGGGAAGGAAGAGATATTGATGGATTTTCCATCAGAATCACGACCCTACAAAACATCGTGTTATCTGACAGTTGTGTATTGAATGTACAACGTACAAACACTTATCATCGTGTCGACAGCTTGTCTCTCCATTATCTGATAGGCACATATCAAATGTAAGGATTCCATTCTTATCAAAAGAAATGCATAATTACGTAAGTCCGAGGGGGATTTATTATTTATGCGTTTGAAATCTGTTTTGTTTTCTTTCAAAAACATATTGAAGGACAAAAGTTTTTTAAGCTTTTCTTAAACAAATTATATATTCCGATTGATTATTCAAGTTGCGGGAAATTTATTTTAACTTTCCGTTACTGAGCACGTGTCTGATATTTTAATTTGAAATATTAATATTTTGACCCTTGGCAATGACTGGCTTTTATTACCCCACATACAGCTGTACATGTATATTATGAAACCAAAATTCTAAAAGCTCCTTTAAAAAGATTCTCCGGTACATATAAGATGCTCTAAACACAGCATATTCGTGGAAAAAACATAGTAGTGATATAGCTGTCATTTGTTTTTCTTTTGGATATATTTAACAATAACAATTTGTATATTTTCTTTAAAAATCCGAGAAATATCCATTCCCCTACAGGCATCTTGAAACATAAACGCAAAAATATACTCAGAAATCAAAGATATCTAATCAAGTAAAAATTCAGTTAACTATATACATTTTTGCTAAGCACGTTTGCAACATTGCAGTTCAAAAAACGTTTTAACATGCTTTTGTGAACTAATTAAATGCACATTTTGGAAAAAATATTACTAATAAACAAATGCGCAAACAAAAAATATGGCGATTTTTTCAATTTGATTTTTTATATTCATAGTTGACAATTTACTTCGTAGTGTTTACTTAATCCCCGTATAATAGCATTAATCAATTACACATCTAATAAACCGTTTTCACAAAACCTTTTTTTCTTTCGGAATTGAGTTCCGTTTTCGTTATCTAAAGTGTTTTCCACATATCTTTTGATTTATAAGTTGTTCGTATGTTTTGAGTAAGGCACGGTATTTTTTTTTATTTGACTCCAAGTGTTTTTATTTGGGTTTGAATCAGAACTGTTCTAGAACAACAAATGTCTATAAAAACTTCATTTCTTCTGAGAATTTCTTTTGAGCTTTGTAAATAATGGAATGCTGCTTCATAATACATGCAAATCGTTTTCAGGGCATTACTTAACGAACACACTCATATGGTACTCATATACATATACCTTGCAGATTCTTCTGATGGGAACAAGAGAGATTTTCAAACGCAATTCATTTTCTATATTAACGCAACCGGGAAGCAACCCCGATAGAAACTCAGTTTAAAGCAATACAGGAGAAATTTTGAGTGGAATAGGAAAAAAAATGATTTAAAATAAAAAGAAAGAAAAGAAAAGAAAACGTGCCAAGGGGTTAAAATGAAAAAGGAAGATACTTCGGCGGAAATTGTACTCAATTCAATAAAAGTTCTATGAGAACTTAGTTCACGACATAATTGCATGTAGGCTGTTACTCGTGCAATCAAGTGGGCAACTACAAGTACAACAGAGTAATTATCAATCAGGAATATAAAAACTTTACTAAAATTGCAAATTACAATAAATTTATTTTCTTTACGCATTTGCTTAACAGCAATATATTTATTTCCGAAATATGCATTTATTTACTAGCAGTTCATAAAAGCATGTTAGGTTAGAAAGTTTGTGAGCTGTTTATTTGATTCTGAATTAAATTTTAATTGATCGATTGCTGTCATTAATTTACAGTGCAAGTGTATACTATTCAAAAACTACACGTATTGTGAACTCTGAGCTCACAAAATGATACCTCCGTCTCCCATATGTTTAAAATGGTGAAGTCCATGTTTTGCTATGGGAATCCCGAAGTAAGTGTCTAATCAAAAAGTAAAAAAGATGGTGCACAATGGCACTATGTAATAAATATTCCATGAAAGTATCATTAAATTTTATTGAGTTGTAAAGGAGAAGTTGCGGATAAAAGATGTGCACCCCAATGCGTAACAGACAGACGGACATCCCCATCACTATGTACTTCACGCTTTTCAAGCGGGGGCATAAAAATATGAAAGCTGAGACTTTTAAAATGTTTTGAGCAAAATGTTTCCCATATGAACATCTTGGCTTCCAAGTCAAATTACTGCAGGAGTAAAGTTCATTCTGATGATTTGTATTGAGTTTACGACATGGAGAAGAGAACATACAACGGGACATTGATTAACGTTACTCATATTTATATATCTCCCTTATTTGTTGAAATTATATCAATTTTATTCATATTATTAATTCCAAAGCATTTTAGGGAATCGGTTTTTTTTATCATATCCTATTATTATAAAAAAAATCGTAGGATTTTGGTTTTGACACCAGAAAATCCAGTTGATTTCTGGATGTCAAAAAATCGACGTTTTGATGCAAGAAATCATTTCCTAATGTCACAAAATATTAATACTAAAAAATATATGTATATATGATTTGATCTGCTATCATGTTCGCTGGTCGGAGATAAAAAAAAAATAATAATAACGTCAGTTACACCATTACATTGAAAGGGTAAATAGGACAACTTTATTCTGTCGGATGGGAACATTAATTCAGGACTTCAGGCTGGGGAAGTTTGGGTGGGAGTTGTGATAAGATAACCAAGTAGTTTTTAAAAGAGTCAGAATGAACTTAATTAGCCATTTTTATGTGCATCTTTGAACATCTGTGTATCTATCATCAATATCTTTTGACATTTACCCAAACAATGAATATGATAAATAGATTTCCAATTTTTGTAACAGATTATTATGCAAAATTCTGCAAAATGTTCATTTCCATAAAATTGATAAATTACATAGTTGTCTTACTAAACAAATATTCTCGACATGGGGTGCATGACGTAACAGGCATTCTAAACTCTGCATTCTAGTCTACGCCGAGGGTAATGAATTAGCATGTTTAGTTTCAATTTAATCATTAAGTTAAGCTAAGACAATAGGCAATTAAACCGCTCTCTCGATCCTATACTTCCTCTCTCTCTCTCTCTCTCTCTCTCTTATCAAAACACTAACTTTTCTCTACCTCCCTCCACCCTCCCTCCCTCACCCAGAGAGAGAGAGAGAGAGAGAGAGAGAGACGGGGCATAGGTTGAGAGGAGAGAAGGGGTGGATAAAGAGAGAGGGGAGAGGCGGTAGAGGAAGAGAGAGGGGAGATGGGGGATTCTCTCTCTCCCCTCTCCCTCCCCTCCCTCTCCCTTACGCTCTCCCTTCCTCTCTCACTCTACCCCTCTGTCTCTCTCCCTCCCTCTCTATCCCCCTCTCCCTTCCTCTCTCATTCTACCTCCCTCTCTCACTCCACCTCCCTCTTTCTCTCTCACTCCCTCTCACTCTCTGTCTCTCACTCCCTCCTCACTATATACATAAATGTTTTTTTTTTTAAAGAATTTCATTGTTTAGCGTGTATGATTCTAGATCCTTTTATTGCGATGATGCTCCTGGTCACACAGGGTTTGATACAATGCTATTTAATACATCTTTATACTCTATTGACCCTATATTTCCACTTAATCACCCGTGGTATAACACTGGCGACTGTACGAGTCTTTAATACTGATCACGGGTCTCTTTGAATGAGAAGTGTAAATAGATTAATTTACTGGAACAATCACTTGCCCTATGGGTTAAACAAAAATAGCATTATAGCCCAGAATGACTTTTGAAAAGTGACAGTGTCCAAAATGAATTTTATATATATATATATATATATATATATATATATATATATATATATATATATATATATATATATATATATATATATATATATATATATATATATATATATATATACATGTATATATATATATATATATATATATATATATATATATATATATATATATATATATATATATATATATATATATATATATATATATATATAAAACAAGGATAGACCCCCCCCCATATACCGGTATCATATCATGCCATCATACATAAAACAAATACACATAACTATACATAATCATTCGAAAGACAATATTTGGGAATCCATAAATTTTAAATAGATTTATAAATATATTAAATGAATATTCAGGAAACCATATTTTTAGAAATATAATGCCAT